CACTGTGTCCTCCACAGGGCGGGAAGGTCTCTAGGACACTAGGATGGGGCGGGGAGGGGGGGGCAGGCGGGGCCTGGGGCCTGGGCTTCGTCCCGCCCCTCCCCCGCCCCAAGGACCACAGCGACTGTGACTCTCGTCCAGGGGGTGGTGTGAAGTCACAAACCCCCAGATGTGTCCCGGGGCCCCTGGGTGCTGGGCTGTGGAGGCCAGGGCCCACCCAGACCCCCTCCCGCCCCCAGCACGGCCAGGGGTCACGCCCCAAAGGGTGAAAGAATTCCCTTTAGCACAGGGATGGAGCCTTCCCCCTCCCACGGCCTGTCCCTAGCCGGTGCTGTAGGGGGACCGTAGGGGTCCAGCCCTCTCCCCTCGTGGGTTCCCCTCACTCGGGGCTTCTTTCCTGCGGGGCTGAGGGAGGGGAGGGGCTGCCCCCACATGCCTGGGGGTCCTGGGCCTCGGCCCCCAGCGAGGGCTACTCAGAGCTGCCTGCAGGGGCCAGGCCACCAGGGCCGCCGCTGGACTCAGTCAGCTGACCACCAAGGGCCGCCCTCCCCCTGCCCTCTGGGAGCCCTGGGGGTGCCTGGGGTCTGTCCTTGACACTCCGTGGTTTGGACCCCCACTTCCCAGCTGCCCTTGGGCTGTGCCTGGCCCGGAGGGTGGTGGCCCCTGACAACCACGGAAGGCGGGTTTGGAGGAAGAATGCGCTCAGGCTGGGCCAAGGGGACCAGGCAGCCCCGGGGGCGTCCGGGAGCCACCCGGCCACACTGCCCACACTCAGACCCGGCCAGGCAGTCTCAGAAGACCAGGAGTGGGTGTGGCCGCCCTAGGGGATACTGGCCACTGGGGTTGGGGTGCCAGTAGCCTCAGGGGCGAGGCAGGGGAGGGGGGCATTAGCGTTTTTTTTTTTTTCTAAAAATGGGGGCTAACTATTGTTTCAGGACCTCGGGTCTAACCAGTGTTGAGGCCCAAAGCCCTCCCCAGGATATTCCCAGGGGCCACAGCTGGAAATTGTGCACAGGGGGACCAGGGAATGCAGCCAGGGGCCTGGCCAGGGGCACCCAGGAAGGAGTCTGGCTGGGAGACAGTGATGCCCCTCATGACCTCGACTGCTGGTTCCCTCTCTCCCTCCCTCCCTCCTTCCTGGGTGCTTCCTGCTCAGTGTCCAGACGCATGTGCGCTCTGTGGTCTGGGGACACCCCACCTCAGGGCTCAGGGCTCGGGAGACCACACAGCCTCCTGCTGGCACAGCCACGGGTCCGGGGTGGCTCAGGCCTGGGTGCAAAATCCAAGGACAAAAACAAAAAATCTGCGCCCTCGTCCCGCGGAGAAAGGGGGCCACGTTGTCACCGTGACCGAGCAGAACGTCCACCTGCCCGGCCCGAGAACACCGGCCGCTGTTCCCTCGGCCGCCTGACCCGAGCCGCGGTGCCCGCCCGGCCACCGCACCAGCCCCTGGCTCGGGTGTGGACGCCGTCCCAGCAGCCGGAGGCGAGGAACAGAGGTCACTGCCAGCAGGTGCCTGGCCGGGACAGCTCCTGACTCACACGCCCGCGGCTGGCCCAGGGGGCCTGAATCCAGCCGGGCGGGTTCGTGATGGGGGAGTGTGGGTTTCGCGGGTGTGGCGAGAGGAGAGGGGGTGTTGGATATTAACCCGAAGCGCTTTGGGCTTCGTCCGTGAATGCCCCTTTCTCTCCTCCCGGTAAGGCTGACAGTGCTCTCATGAGCATCCGAATCCCCCGAGTTTATCTTTAAGCTTCCCTTTGTGTTTCGCAGCTCATTGTCACAGCTCCCCAAGTCACTCTTGGTTACTCATAAGCCAGAGCTTTCTGGTAATCCTGCCTTTCGTATTTGAAGTGGATTACTCACTTTTCTCGAGTTGGCCATGTTGGCTGCGTGCAAGGCAAACGCCCTACCGCTGTGCTATTGCTCCAGCCCCCGATAGCACAGTGATAGATAGCACAGCCCGCGATAGCACAGCGGTAGGGCGTTCGCCTTACACGCGGCCAACATGGCCGACCCGAGTTCGATTCCTCCGCCCCTCTCGGAGAGCCCGGCCAGCTACCGAGAGTATTCGATATGCCAGACACAGTAACAACAAGGTCTCCAATGGAGACGTTACTGGGCCCGCTGGAGCAAATCGATGAACAACGGGAAGACCGTGACCATGACCGTGACTCGCTTTTCTATTTCACCTGTAGCCTTTTGATATTTTATTCTAGAGTTATGTTCTTTGGTTGAGCACAGAAAGACTGTTCATGCTGTGCTCCTACTATTTGGGAGGTGACTGACTCGGAAATAGGTCTAGTCCTGGGCATCGGTCAGAATTGCTAGACCCAGGCTTCAGTCGCTGTCGTCCCTCAAACCCCAGAAGGGAGGTACCGGGGTGGGCCGGGGGCGAGAGGCAGAGCTACCCCCCCCACATCAGAATGGGACAGTCCAAAAAGCACAAATGCACAGTCTTTTTTTTTTTTTTTTGCACGTTTGGGTCACACCCAGCAATGCTCAGGAGTTACTCCTGGCTCATGCACTCAGGAATTACTCCTGGCAGTGCTTGGGGGACCATCTGGGATGCCGGGGATCCAACCTGGGTCGGCCGCGTGCAAGGCAAACGCCCTACCCGCTGTACTATCACCCCAGTCCCATAATTGCACGGTCTCGATGCAAGCTGATATGACTTAAAAGACAGGATCCCCCTGGGGAAGGACGAGCTGAACTGGCCTGAGGACTTAGTCTGGGATTTACCGTAACAGCCTTGCTGGCTCTCAGAGCCCGGAGAACTGAGTGTTGGGAATCTTTGTTTCTCACTGTGTTTACCCAAACAACTGCAAGTGTTGATAAGAAGTAGAATTAACTGCTTGGCTTAACTGTTTGGTATATACGACTGGAGGGAAAGAGAAAAGCAATATAGATGGCCCTGGGAGAGAGAGGTCTCCTGAGTTTATCTCCCCGCTGGGAATTGCCTCTGCTGGAATGTTTCCCCTCTGTAAATCACAAGGACACGCAGTCCGACACCTCTGACCTCCTCAGATGTCCTGTAAGTACGCTGCATGAAAACAGGCTGTTTCCACCATCAGGCTGGGTCCTGCCTCTCCGTCTCTGCTGGGGAGACCCGGGGAGGCCAGGGGGCGGCTCTCGGCCACTGAGGACCTCACACACCTTATTCTGGGGACTCACAGGTGGGCAGCAGCTGGAGCCCGGTCTGGCTCTGGGCCCGGTGTGGTGTGCCGGAGTAGGGGGACAGACAGACGGACGCGGGGATGTGGGGACACCCCTCTGAGCCAGGCGCTTTCCCGGTGGAAACAATAGTTCGCAATGAACTGACTGTGACAAGGGGAAACGGACAGTCCCAGCAGCAGGTCGCGATGAAGGACTCAGGGCTGGGCCCCAGTGAGGAGCTGGTCCCGGGAGGGTGCAGGAAAGTCGGCGAGGCCCCCAGCAGAGAAGGGCTGGGCCAGGCCCCCTGCGCCAGGGGGGCCGGGGGACCGGCCCAGTGGTCCCACGTGTTCAGGAATGAATTTGGACCAACGCTCTCAGGTAGCGAAGTCCCTACGGTGAGCGAAGTCCCGTTCCAGCGGCTCTGAGTCCCAGAACTGCTGGGAAACCCCCCTACACACACACACACACACACACACACACACACACACACACCCCAAACAATTCCCACACGAGTCCGGGGAATAAAGACCAGCAAATGGAATATTCGAGAACAGAATGCGCCGGCCGGTGACCTTAAAGGATGAGAAGCTTTTTTTTTTTTCCAAGCGAGCAGTCAATTCAAAGCACAGTACGTGCAAAGCCCCGGGAGACTTTCGTGAGCCCGGCACCGAGCATATAAAGCAGGTGTGCAAATCAAACATTTACCGAAGGTGAGAACTTTTATTGTGGAACAAAATTCTAAAGTGCTCCGTGACCTGGAACCGGGTGGTGAGCTGCAGCGTGTCTCGCAGGCTGAGCGTTTCTGCTCTGCCCGCACCATCTCGGGTGCTGGCGGGAGGGACGGGGGGTCCCGCGACTGCCGGGAGGGGGAGGACCTGGGGGAGGGGAGGACATGGTGCCCAGTCTCCCGCCTGGTGGCCCTGGGGCTCGTGTGGGCTCAGGCAGGCTGCCGCGAGGGAAGGCAGCTGGACACCATCCATCGGCCCGGTGTGACCCCCAACCTGGCACTTGCCTTTCTTCTCTTTGGCCACCCCTGGCCGTGCTTGGGACTCACACCAGGCTCTGCCCCCAGGGAGCAGTGCTGGGGGGCTTGGTGGACATCGGTGGATCTGGGCCCGCTGCGCCCTCCCTGGGCCCCTGGAGGGGTTCCTGGCTCTCGGCTCAGCTTGGGGGTCTCAGACCCGCGCAGCCTCTGCTTTGGAGTGTCTGCCGCACCGGGAGCGGCTGCACTGGGTGTGACCAGGCAAGGGCCAGGGCCGAGGGGCAGACCTTGGGCACCGCAGGGGTGGGACCTCGGCCACGCCAGGGCCAGGGCCAGGGCCAGGACCAAGACCTGGGCCACCTCGGGGGCTAGACCACGGCCACGTTAAGGGCCAGGACAGCAGCGCCAGCACGTGGGCCACTAGGGGACAGGGCCGGGGCCATCTCGGGGGGCCAGACCACGGCCAGGTAAGGGCCAGCACCAGGGGCAGGACCTGGGCCACCCGGGGGACCAGACCGAGGGCACGGGAGGGCAGGACAGCACCTGGGCCGCTAGGGGACAGGGCTGCGGCCACCTGGGGGCCAGACGGGGCCGGCGCGCGCTGACCACGTCCACCAGGGCCAGGACGCGCCGGCGCCCGGGCCCGGCGGCGGGGGCGGGGCGGGGGCGGGGCCGGCGGCGGGGGCGGGGCCGGCGGGGGCGGGGCCTGGGCGGGACTTGCCCGCCGCTTCCGGGCCGCTCAGGGGGCGGGCCCCTCTCCGCCCGCCCCGCCCCTTCCGGCGGCGCGGCCCCGCCCCTCCCTCCCGGCGCTCTCGCGAGGCGGGTGACGTCGTCCGCGCGCGCCGCGGCGTGACGTCAGGCGCGCGCCGCCACGCGCCGCGCCATGGAGCTGCTGGCGGGCTGCTACGAGCAGGTGCTGTTCGGCTTCCGGGCGCGGCCGGGCGCGGGGCGCGGGTGGGCGGCGGCCGCGGGCTTCACGCACCACGCGCACGGCGCCTGCGTCACGGCCGTGGCGGCGGGCGGCCGCTTCGTGGTCACGGGCAGCAAGGACGAGGCCATCCACGTCTACGACCTGCGGCGGCGGCGGGACCACGGCGCGCTGCTGCACCACCGCGGTAGGGGCGGGGGCGCCGGGGGGGCGGGGCGGGGGCGGCCCCGGGAGCGGCTGCTCGCGCGCGTGGGGGCGGGGCTGGGACCCCCGACCCCCCGCGCCGGCCGCCTTCCTGCCCGCGGGGCCCCAAGGGTCGCCCAGCCCGCGGGGCGGGCGCGCTCAGGGCCTCGCTTCGCCTGGTGCCAGCCGGGGGGTGCAGGCGGGAGGGCGGACCCCTCGGACCCCCCGGACCCCCGGACCCCCGGCGCTCCCGGAGCGTAGGGTCACGTCGCTGGGGCGAGCGCAGCCCCCGGAGGAGACGGGCTCCTTGCCAAGGGGGGAGTGAGGCTCTTGCCCCCGCCCAGCCGGGTCGGCCCCTGGCACGGGCCATCCCCAAGTGCCACCCGAGCGAGCCCCGGGCCCGCCCGCCGTGTAACCAGAGCAAACGCTGCCCCGGCCGGGGTGGCACAGAGGCGGGTCCCGGGCACTGACCGCGACTGTCCCGTCCCCCCCCTGCTTCCCGCAGGCTCCATCACCTGCCTGAGGTTCCACGGCCACAGGCACCTGCTGAGCGGCGCCGAGGACGGGCTCATCTGCGTGTGGGACGCCCGGAGGTGGGAGTGCCTCAAGACCCTGCGCGCCCACCGGTGAGTGCCGCCCGCCCCACGCCCCCCTGCACCCGGCTCCCGCGCTCAGCGCCCTGTCCTCTCCCTGCAGGGGACACGTGACCGGCCTGTCCATCCACCCGTCGGGCAAGCTGGCCCTGTCCGTGGGAACCGACAAGACTTTGAGGTGAGCCTGGGACCGCCGCTCGGACATCCCTGCGGGGCCCAGGGGGACCCGCCCCAGCTCAGGCGGGCCCCGTTGCCGGTGTGAGCAGATGCTCGTACAGGTACCCGCGGCTGTGGCTTTCTCCAGGCCCAACCCGGAACTCGCTCCTGGCAGGGCTGGGCTGTCCGGGGAGCCAGGCAGGCTGCAGACAGCGCCGGGTCACTGTGAGGACACCCGGGGCCGGTGTTGTTTGAGTGGGTCTCATTGGCTCTGCCCCACGGTGGATCTCAGTTGGCACCGCATCAGTCAGGACCCGAGGCAGTGAGCTCCCCATCCGTGAGCTTCCTGTGTGAGAGCGTCGGCCCCGCCTCACTGAGCTTCCTGTCTTGCAGGACATGGAACCTTGTAGAAGGAAGGTCTGCGTTCGTGAAGAACATCAAGCAGAGTGAGTGTCTGCGTGGGACTGCTCCCCGCACAGTGCTCGGTGCTGCAGCGCATCTGCCCTCGTCCCGGGTGCTCAGCCTGGCTTCTTGGCCCATCGCCTTGGGGTTCGGATTTCAATTTTTTGTACCGCCCAGAGGCTGCCCTGGCAGTGCTCAGAGACCCCCTGCAGATGCTGGGATCGAACCCCACCCTCCCTGTGCCGACACTAAGCCTGGTTACTACCCGGCCCCGGCCTGCATGGTTGTATGTTTTGTTTTGCTCAGGGGCCACACGGGTGGTGCTTCGGGGTTATCCTGGCTCTGCACCCAGGGCTCACTCCTGGTGGTGCTTGGGAGACCCTCTGGGATGCCGGGGATGAAACCCGGGTCAGCCCTGTGCAAGGCAGACGCCCTCCCCGCTGTGCTGTTGCTCCAGCCCCCTTCGGGATTTTTCAAAGCCATTTGACAATTGAACATGCAAAGTTGGTGTGTTTTACCACGATGGTAATTTACCACAGCTCTTGATTGCTTCAGTGTTAATCTTCTCCGTGGGTTTTCCTTTTGGGGGAGGGGGTGTTGGTGTTCGCCGCTGCTGACGGGATGCAGGGATCTGAGCCCCGAGGGCCGCTTGGCCCTTTGCACCAGCCCCCAGCCCTGATCTTGTTAGAGCCGTCGTTTTCTCCGTGAGCTGAAACAGCCTTTGACTCGCAGACGCCCACATAGTGGAGTGGTCCCCGAGCGGGGAGAAGTACGTGGTGGTCGTGCAGAGTAGAATAGACGTCTACCAGCTGGCCACGGCCTCCATCAGCGGCGCCATCAACTGCGGGAGGCGCGTGTCTGCACTCGCCTTCCTGTCGGTGAGCGGGCAGGGCCCCGGGCCCCTTCCCCGCCCCCACCCGCCTCCGCCTGCCCCCGTTTCTCTCTGCCTCACACTTTCTCATTCCCAGGAGTCTGTGCTCGCTGTGGCCGGCGACGAGGAGATCGTGAGGGTGTTCGACTGTGACTCGCAGCAGTGCCTGTGCGAGTGGAGAGCCCATGAGAACAGGTGCCCGGGGGTCTCGGCTGGGGGGGCGGCGCTCGGGAGCCCGGCTTCCGGCTGCAGCTGTCGCATGTGTTGGGGCCCGTTGGCAGAGCTGCGAGGGAGCGCCAGGCCCATGGGGACGCCCCCGCCCCCTGAGCGTGCCCAGGGCTCCTGGCCTCTGCTCGGGGACGGTCCGCCCACTGCCCTCTCCGCCCCTGCTCTCGGAACATTCCAGCTCGGGGGAGCTGAAAATTCCATCCCCACCGTCGGGGCGGCAGGGGCCCGGGGTGGGGTCGCCCCTGGAGTCCCAGTGTGGACTTTCTGTTCCCGGAGCCGAGGGCCTGTCGGTGGTGGCCAGACTCGCCTGCTCTTCCTCGCGGCCTTTGGCACGTCCTGCTGGGGCGATTGGGCCTCCCGAGCCCCACCGCATGTGCGGGGCCAGCACGCCTGGGGCGCTCCTCCCGCTGTTGCTGGGGGAGCACTGGGACAGGAGCAGGCCCCTGACAGACGGACGCCCGCGGACAGACCTGTCCAGTGTGACAGGAGGCCGTGTCACTACAGTACAGCCGAATGACCCTCGATTGATGGGTGGGCAGGGCCGTGTGCACAGAGGCCTCGAGGAAGCGCGGTCTTCTAGCCTGGTATTTTCCATCCAGGGTGAAGGACATGTGCAGTCTGGAGGTCCTGGGGCAGCGGGTCCTGGTCACGGCGTCCAGCGACGGCTTCATCAAAGCGTGGCAGTTCAGTCAGGACATGGTGAGTGTGTCCCCGGCATGGATGAGGCTCAGCGGGTGCCCCTGCACTTGGGGGACTGTTGAGGGGAGAGGGTGGGCGACGTGGCCTCATGGGTACCCCCAGCGAGTCGGGCTTCTGAAGGCGGGCGCCCGGGCAGGGCCGTGCTCTCGGGTACTTACAGCCTTGCCGGCACGCAGGCGCCCGGGCCCACCCCCCTCTTGGGACGGCCACTCCGCGCTCGTGCTGACCCTCACTTCTGTGTCCTGTGACGCTCGGGGCCGGCGAGGTGGCCGAGGCTGAGCTGTGCCCTGCTCGGTCCTTGAGCACCCGCACAAGCCGTGGCCCGGACCCCTGCACGTAGAGCTGTGCCTGTGTCGCCAAGGGGGTTCCTGGGGCCTCGTGGGGTCTCCTCGCGGTCTGTGAGGGGGCCTGAGCCTTCACTGCACCCCGCTTCAGGAGGGTTTTGTTGGGGGCCCACACCAGTGTACCGGGATACCCTGGAGATGCTGGGCCCGGCTGGCCCATGGGCGCCCTCTGCGGTGTGTCCGGCGCCCATGAGAGTCCGCACCGGGGAGAGGAGCCCGGAAGGCCCCCGAGTCAGGCCGGTCGGGTGGGGGCTGCGAGTCTCGCTGGGGTTCCTTGAGCCGAGGGCTGGCTCTGGGGGTGTGACTGGGGCTGTACGTGCTTCTCAGAAGGTGCCCCCCGCCCTCCTCTGCGAGGCGAACACCAGCGCCCGGCTGACGTGCGTCGCGGTGTGGCTGGACAGCGCCGTGGCCAACGGAGCGGACCGGCCTCCCGGCGCGGAGCCCTCCCCAGGTACGTGCGCTGGTCGGCCGTCCTGCGGCGGGGCCCCTGCCACCTGGTCTGCTGGCATCCGCGCCACACTGACTACCTGTGTCTCGATCGTAGTGAGTCAGGAGCACCCTGCAGCCTGTGAGGAGGAGGAGGAGGAGGAGGAGGAGGAGGAGGAGGAGGAACAGAGCTCCCAGCCCAGCACAAAGAAACGGGGCCGTGAGGCAGTGCGTAGGGCCGGGCTGGGGTCGGCCAAGCGGAGGAAACCCATGGAGGAGGTGGAGAAGAGCAACGGCCGGCCAGGGGCAGGGAAGGGCGGCCCGGAGTCGGCCCAGCAGGACGCGACAGAGACCCCAGAGAAAAGGACCCAGAAGCTGGCGAGTGGAGACGCAGGCCTGGGGCCGGCCCGGAGGAAGCGGGTGAAGAAGCTGAAGAAGAGGGACCGTGGGGCAGCGCCAGGCAGCGGCCCGGGCCCAGCCAGGAGGACCAAGCTGGGGGTGTGAGTGGACGGGGACCTGACCGGGCCCTTCCCAGCGCCTGGGTTGGTTTTCCCTAAAGAAGTGCTGGCGGTGTCCGTCTTTTGGAGGGAATGAATGAACAACCACTGTGGGGTTCTTTTTTTGCTTTTTAAAGGGATCAAAACTCTTTTCTGGGAGCCGAGCAATAGTATAGTGGGTAAGATACTCACCAGTCCCTGGTGCAGTCCTGGCACCACAGAGGGTCCCCAGAGCCCGCCGGGAGCGACCCCTGAGCGCGTCAGGGGCAGCCAACAGCAGACCTGGGAACCTCCGTTCTGTGGACAGCGTTGCTGAGTGCCTGGTGGGACATTGTAGATGTGCAGTAGGAGAGACCGCACCACACGTGCCTCCCCCGAACCCTCACCCAGGGGCCGAGGGCATTTGTGCCACGAGCCCCCAAACAGGCGAGGTCGTGAGCTCCTTCAACTGATGAAAAATGCTTTTGTATTCTCATAAATGGCAGCAAAAACAACTTTGTCTTTAAATGAATTTAGTGGTTTTAAGGTCTTACCCCTGAAGTTAAAATAGGTCTGGAAAGATTTTTTGTATCTGAGAAAATTTTGGAAATGACATAAAATATATATTTATGAAGCATATGCCTGTGTCCAGAGTGTTAGGGGCTTTTTAGCTTTGAACCATATATGGCGATGTTCGGGGTTACTCCCAGCTGGGTGCTCCGGTCATGTGGTGCCAGCCCTGGGCTCTCACATGCTGGTGCTGTTCTGATCCGTGGGCAGGGCCGGGATCGATGGACCCTGGGCCCCCTTGGGAAAAGCACGCCCTCCTCAGGGCTGGAGCATTAGCACAGTGGGGAGGGTGTTTGCCTTGCACATGGCCGACCCGGGTTTGATGCCCAGCGTCCCATGAGGTCCCCCGACCACCGCCAGGGGTAGTTCCTGCATGCAGAGAGTAATCCCTGAGCATTGCCAGGTGTGACCCAAAAAGCAAAAAAAAAAAAACCAAAAACACACCCTCCCCTTCTCTTTTCACCTTGAAACAGTTACCGGCCAGAGCCAACCCGACCTGTCTTCAGCAGAATGACTGGTGACTAGTAGAAGGTGCCTTATTTCTACAGTGACTGAGAACTAGTGCGGCATCAAATGCTTGCTAGTGACCGGGAGGGTTTCGGGCAGTGCCACGGCGGGCAAGACCTGGGGGCGACACAGGTCAGGCCCCGCAGATTGGACTCTGCACTGCTCCGGGGCCCGTGGGCTCCGATGGGCTCTGCTGTGACGTTCCAGGTGACGGTCCACGTGTCGGAAATCCGCTTTCCCGCTGTGCCCTGGTGCCCGCCTGCCGGCAGCTCCGGGTTACGGCGAGACGCGGACAACAGTGGCCGCAGGTGTCCGCCCCGGCCTGCTTCGGGCTCCCGGTGCCCGGGTGTGGCATGTGAGAGGCCCCCGGTGTGTGCCCACGTCCCTCCGTGGGTGGGGTCCGCCCGGGCTCTGCAGCCCCAGGCCCCTCCCGTTTAGGGCAGGGGCGCACCCCGGGGCCTCGCAGCAGGGCAGGGCCCCGTCCAGCCCGGCAGGCGGCCCGCTGCGGCCCCTCCCCCGGCCGCGCCCCCCGCCCCGTGCTGACCAGAGGGCGGCCCATCAGGACCGGGCCGGGGCAACGCCCGAAACGCGGCCACCTTCGGGTGCCGAGCGCGCAGGTCCCCGCGCCGCCAGGCCCCGCCCCCAGCCCGGCCGCGGGGCGGGGCTTGCTCGGCCCCGCCCCATTGCTGCGCGCGCAGCGAGACCCCAGTCGGCCGTGGGCGTGGCTTTCTCTGACCCCGCCCCCGAGCCGAGCCCTCTCGTCCCGGCGCGCCGCGAGGCCCCGCCCCCAGCTCGTCCTCGGGGCGTGGCTTGCTCCGACCACGCCCCATCCCTGCGCGCGCCGCGGGGCCCCGGCCGTCGCGCGTCACTTCCGGCGGGAGCGCAGCTGCACGGAGGTCCGGAGGCGGCGGGGTTCTGGGGCTGCCCCGGGTTCGGGTCCGTCCCGGGGGTCCGGGTGGCCGCAGCCCGGTGACCCCGCGCCGTCTTCCTTCCCCTCAGGTGTCCGGACGCCGGTGTGGACAGCGGGAGGCCATGAAGGGGGACGCGGGCCCGCTGTGAGTGCGCGGCCGCCGGGCCCACCCTGGGGGCGACCCCGGGCCCTCGGGCTGACCCCGGGTCCCCCCACCCTGGGGCTGACCTCCAAACCCTGAGGTTGACCCTGGGGCTGACCCCCGGACTCTGGGACTGACCCCTGGACCCCCGGGCCGACCCTCGGGCCGACCCCCGGACCCTGAGGTTGACCCTGGGACTGACCCCGGGACCGACCCCTGGGCTGATCCGTCGAGCGACCCTGGGGTTGACCCCCAGACCCTGGGACTGACCCCTGGACCCTGGGGTTGACACCCGGACTCTGAGGTTGATCTGGGGCTGACCCTGGGACTGACCCCCAGGCGAATCCTGGGACTGACCCCTACCCCCCTCCCCGGGCTCACGTGGTCCCGAGCATGTGGGCACTGACCCCTTGCCTTGCAGCGTGCCCATCCATTGGATCGGCTTCGGCTATGCAGCTCTGGTGGCCTCCGGGGGCATCATTGGCTACGCCAAAGCAGGTACGGCCCCCACCTGGCCCAGGGTTGCCAGGTGGAGCCCCGGACGCCCCTGCAGGCCGCGTGCTCTCCCCTTCACCCGAAGGCCTCCCGCGGCCCCCCTGGGGCGGGGGTTCCCGGCCCAGGACTGCCCTGTCTGTCCCCCTCGCGGGCCTGGCCCCTGCCTGTTTATCTGACGGAGCTGGCGGGGCAGGGCGTGCTCCAGCTATCTGGCCGCCACACCGCAGCCCGCCCAGTAGCCGGGAGGAGGCCTCCAGGCACCCCGCAGAGACTCTGTCTCCTCGCTTTCATTCTGTGTTTCAGTGGCCGGGGTCCCCCTCTGCAGGCTGGCGTCCTCTCAGGCCTGAACTTCCTCTCTGCGCCCTGGACGGTCAGCGCGTCTGCACCTGTCCACTGGCCAGTCTGCCCGCGGCTCAGGGCCCTTTTTTCTCCTTTGGCGCAGTGTCCTCTTGGGTTGGGGGCGGGAGTTGTGGCAGGACCCTGATTCCTCTGGGAAGCTGAAGCCACTGAACTGTCTCGTCCCTGTGAGGTCCATTCTCTGTGGTTAGGCGGCCAGAGACACCCCCCCCCCCCCACCCCAGCTCTGCAGGGCCCTTGAGCGCCGCCAGGCGTGGCCCAGGAAGCGGTCAAGCCCAGTGCGCGGTGTGTCCGCCCTGACGCTGTGTGTCGCTCCCCCAGGCAGCGTCCCCTCCTTGGCGGCCGGGCTTCTCTTCGGCGGCTTGGCAGGCCTGGGGGCGTACCAGCTGTCTCAGGACCCCAAGAACATCTGGGTCTTCCTCGGTAAGTGACCCCGCTGCCGAGCACACGGCCCTGTGGCCATCACTCGGCTGGAGGCCTGGGCTGGCCCCGCTGCCCAGACTAGGGCAGTTGTGAGATTGTGGGGGGAGATGGGGGCCGCCCTGGTTTCTGCTCCTCTTGCTTGTGGAGCTGGGACGGAGCTTCTGTACCTCCAGGGCTGGGGGCGGCCCTCGGTGGGTACCAGCCCGCGTGTCTGCGAGTGAGAGCGCATTGGGTGGGGGAGTTCACCTGGCTCTGTACTCGGCGCTCACTCCTGGTAGGGCTGGGGAGTGGGACCCGGGGGGCGCCGCCCTCCTGTCTCTCCGGCCTCCTGGTGTGTCTGCTTTGGCCCCGGCAGTCCTGGCGGGCTGGGCTGCTTCTCGTTTCTGCTTCTGTTTCCTGCTGGCCCTGCCGTGCAGGGGTCGGACCGGGGCCTGCCACACGCCTGTGCGGCCACATCCCCGACCCCTAGAGCCACAACCGGCCGGATTCAGAGGTTGCGCCCAGCCCGGTGCTCAGGCCCCGTGTGGGATCAGGCTCTGCCCGCCCACAGCTTTCTTGTTCAGGCGTTTCTCAGGCCCAGCGGGACAGCACAGGGGTCAGGAGTGGCCGGGTCAGCAGCTGGACACAGGCTCCGGCCCTCCAGCATGGCTGTGAGGGCCAGGCGTGGGCCCTCCCCCAGAGGGAACGGGCCGTCCGCCCCGTGGAGTCACTGGCCACAGGCCCCGTGCGTGGCTTTGCTCTGACTTGGCGCGAACGGTGGCGTGGCCGGGGAAGCACAGGAGAGGGGGGCAGGCGGGTGCTGCTGACCCCGTCCAGTGCCGGACATCACGCGGGGCAGCCACGGGCGAGGCCAGCGTCTCCCCTGCCCTCTCGGGCGTTTTCTTTTGCCCGTCACCTGCGGGTCACCCTGGGCCGGGCCGATCCCACAGTGAGACATGCACGGCCTGGCTCGGGGGCCGGCCCGGCTCGCCCCCTGCTGATTTCACGGGGTTGGGGTTTGTGCAAGTTCCCTGGGGCGCCTCATGAACCTCACTTCCCCCGTTTCTGGCCGTGCTCTCCACGCGTGGCAGGTGTCCTCGCTGCCTGCCCAAGGGGAAGCAAGACTGGGCTGGGGACGAGCACGGGGCCCGTCCCGGCCCCCTGAGGGTCCACTGCCTGGGGGTGTACCAGCTGGCTCAGGACCCACATTCCTGCCCCACCTTCCCTAAGGACCCTCGCTCCCCTCGAGCCGCTGCGTCCTCACTGTCCCTGGGAGGGTCCCGCAGGGGCAGCCCCGTGCCCGTCTGTCTCCAGCCTGAGACTGTCCTTCCCGTCCCCTTTGCCCACCAAGGGCTGCCGCCTCCCAGGGTCTCCAGCGTCCAGTCTGCAGTAGCTGCCCCTCTGACCAGTCCATCTTCCCGTAAATACTGGAATTCTTGGGGGCACGGCAATGGTCCAGCAGGGAGGGTGTTTGCCAGGCATGTGACCAACCCGGGCTCAATCCCTGGCGCCCATATGGTCACCTGATCCCACCAGGGGTGGTTCTGAGCATCACAGGGTGTGAGCCCCACCCCCCAAAAAAAAGCCTGAATTTCTTTTTTATTTTTTCTTTTTTTTTTCCTTTTATTGAATCAGTGTGAGATTGTTACAAGCTTTCCCATTTGGGTTACAGTCACACACCCAACCTCCACCCACCCCTCCACCAGTGCACATTCCCCACCACCAATATCCCCGGTATTATAACCCCCCATTCCCACCCTCCCCCTGCCTCCATGGCAGACATGATTCCCCGTAATCTCTGTCCACTTTTGGCATTATGGTTTGCAACACAGACCCTGAGAGGTCGTCATGCCTGGTCCTTTATCTGCTTTCTGCACACATCTCCCATCCCGGCCGATTCCTCCAGCCTTCATTTTCTTTGTGATCCCTTCTGTATTCCAGCTGCCTTCTCCCCTAGCTCACAAGGCAGGCTTCCAGCTGTGGAGCAATCCATCTGTCCCAGTCCTGAATTCCTTGAGACCTGATTTTCTTATTCCCTAAGCCTTGAATTTTTATTATTATTATCACTATTTTGCTTTTTGGGTAGCACCTGGCAGTGTACAGGGGTTCATCCTGGCTCTGCACTCAGGAATTACTCCTGGCGGTGCTCGGGGGACCATATGGGATGCTGGGAATCGAACCCGGGCCAGCTGTGTGCAAGGCAAACGCCCTCCCCGCTGTGCTATCGCTCCAGCGGCCCAGGCCTGAATTTCTCTCAGGGCCTGAATTTAAGGTTCTTCTGCTCATTTCCCCTTGGCAGTGCCCATGAAGCCAGGGCTGAGCGTACCCTAGTGACTCAGGCCTCTCTGAGCCTTGCGCATCTCTCCGCCTTGGTATCGGGGACGTCAGACCCAGCTGCCCGGCCTGCCCTCGCGTCCTCTCACCCTCAGGCTCCTGTCCCTCCCCCCACCCCCACCCCGTCTTATCAGGGTCCTCAAGCCCAATCCTTGGTGGCAGACGCGTTCTGTGCACAGACTCCCCGCGGGCCCAGTATCCGGTGCTCTTGGCCCTGGCCGTGACGTGGCCTTCGGTGGCTGTGCCTGCCCCTGCGGCTCACGCCCCCTGCTGGCCGTCTCCCCCCTCCTCTGCTCCCCGCCGCAGGCCCTGTGGCCCCTGATCAGGGCAGGGGCATCACAGGACCTGCCATGCCTCGTGCTTCTGGGTTTCTGCGTGACCCGGTCGGTGTCCATCGCACCAAGAGCACACCAGGGATGGACGGTGCTTCTGTTTGTTTTGCCTCGTCTTGGCGGGGGAGGGGGAGGTCACACCTGGCTGTGATGGGGGCACTGTGCTGGCCCGGTGCCAGCCTCCGCACCGTCTCCCACAGCCCAGTGTTGGTGCTCAGCACAAGAACCCTGGTCTGGGGTGCCCGACCTGGCCCCTGGCCTCACGGCAGGTGGGTCTGTGACTGTGTCTGTCTCTCCATCAGTGACATCCGGAACCTTGGCCGGCATCATGGGAGTGAGATTCTACAACTCGGGGAAGTTCATGCCCGCCGGCCTGATCGCGGGGGCCAGGTACTCGCTGTTCTCTGCTCCTGGCCAGGAGGGTTCTTGAAGTGCTCGGACTCCTCTGCCCGTGCAGTTCCCTCGCTCCACCATGCCCGGTGCTGGGCACAGAGACACTCGTTTATGAGAGTCTGGTGTCATGGCAGAGTGTGTGTGACATGGTTGGTCCTCCCCTCGGGCCCAGCCTGGTTCCTGGGTGGCGAACACGACAGCCCTGTCCACAGGGCGGGCTCTCGATTTCTCAGCTGTGTGGGTGACTTCCCTGCTGAAGTTCACCAGTAGAAAATTAGAATTCTGATGGAAGACTGTTTTTAATCAGCTTCTGTCATAGAAACCAAACGGGATTTTATTTCTGTGTGGGGGACACACCCGCTGGTGCTCAGACCTTGTGGCCCTGGGGGTGGAACCAGGAGACGGTTGAGAACGCCCCTCGGAGCGTCACAGAGGCGCTGGAGGCAGGAACCTGGGAGAGAGCCCGCCTTTTGATTGCGGGGCTCACCGTCTTGGGTGATGACTTGAGATCAGTGGGAACCGAGGCCCAGGGCAGGGTGGAGACCGGACACTGTGTCGGCCACTCTGTCCCCTGGGAGCCCCCGCCCAGGCTCGGCCCGGGCCCTCCCTGACGTTCTCTCTGTTTCTTTCCAACAGTTTGCTGATGGTGGCCAAGCTCGGGATCAGCGTGTTGAACGGGACCCACCGGTCCTAGGCTTGTCCCAGCGCGGACTCCTGAAGACGGGTTTAAGGTCCGCAGTTTCCCGTGTGTCGAGAGAGGTCAACGCAGCGTTTTCACCTTTCCCGGCAGTTTCCATAAAAGGGACAGAAGCTTAACACGACACCGACCTTTACAGGGGCAAAGCCCGTTCCTGTGGCAGCCCTGAGTGGGGGTGGGTCCGTCCAGCCGGTCAGTGCATCCCTCCTGCCGCCTGCCCTGTCCGCAGGTACTGTCCTTATAGCCTGGCAGGAGCCAGGGGCGGCAGAGCCCCAGGTGTCTGTGTGGGCTCTGGGCCCCCACACCACCCCCCTCCCAGATGGGTGATGCGGAAGAAATGTATTCGGGAATCACTGTCCCTGGGCTAATTTTAGATCACAAACCTCACTTGGAAATTGTTATATGAAAATAAAGTTTGCTATTAAAACGCTCTCTGGTTTGTGGTCAGCTCTGTAAACAGAATGAGTGTGAGGCACAGAAACGCTTTGGGGACGTTTAGAACACTTGAAGGGCCTGGAAACTTGCTAGTCCTTGTGCTACATAGTGTAGGTTGTTTCCAAATGATCTCAGCGGATTTCTTTTTTTTTTTTTTTTTTTGCTTTTTGGGTCACACCCGGCAATGCACAGGGGTTACTCCTGGCTCTGCATCCCTGGCGGTGCTCAGGGTACCATACGGGATACTGGGAATTGAACCCGGGTCGGCCACGTGCAAGGCAAACACCCTACCCGCTGTGCTATTGCTCCAGCCCCTCAGCGGATTTCTAACATTGAGACCTGCTCACTGGTGAAGGGATTGGAGTTGGAACGTTATATGCCTGAAGAACGATCATAAATATCTTGGTTACTTTGTGCTTCGCAGTGATTCAATTAAGAAAACAACAACAGTTCTCCTAAAAAAGAGAGACCTTTTCCTTAGCTGGACACAGACCCACCTGATCCTCGCACGATGTTTCTGTTCGTCCATGGTCTTGTGCTGACACAAAGGTGACCTGTTTGCAAGTCTCTTGCTATCACAAGTATCACTGTTCTGAGGACATCACAGTTGAGATCTCAGTGCACAAGTGCAAGGAATCCTTCAGGTTTCCTTTCTAGAAGCTGGGTCGAAGCAGACACAGTTAGACCCCCACCAGCAGCCCTGCCTTTGCAGTGTGGGTTTATCAGACGTCTTCAGCAAATGAAGATGGGAGGTTGTTTGTTTTTCTGTTGCTCGATGACTTAGTAACTTGGAAGGAGGACTGGACACATTGGCCAGGGCTGGGAGCCTCCCACACAGTGCGTAGGGGCCTGGGGTGTCAAGGATGGGACCCAGGGGCCAGGGTCTGCCCTAAGCACAGACAGACCTGAGCACCACTGAAGGGCGCCCCAAAGGCAAAAAAATAAAGATTACAAAACACTTGCCAGAACAACATAGTATTGAGCAACCCGGGTGGGAGGAAGTCAGAGGGAAGCGCAGGTCTCTGGGACAAAGGAGAAAAGACGAGGCGAGAGCATGAGCTCGGCAGAGAAGGGGAAGTTCACACGGGCCCTCAGATGAAGGGAACGGAAAGGGCCGCAAAGGGAACCCACGCTCCAGGGCTGGGGGACGCCGAGGGCCTCTTGGACGTTGGCCCCGAGCCTTCCAGGCGGCATTGGTGTCGCCCCCTCCTCCTCCCTGCAGAGAAGCTCGGCGTACTCCTGCGAGCACCCCTGACCCCTTCGTGCCTTGCCTCTCACGCCCCCTTCGTCCCTTTCTTCTGGCTCGCGGGTTCTCCAGGAAGCGGCCCCCACCCGGTGCCAGTCCACACCCGCCCTCAGCCGCGGCTCATCCAGTTTCCCACTCCGGCACACGGAATCCCAGATCTGTGTTTCTGCGAGGCTCTTCCCAGACTCCACACACTCAGAGCCGGCGTCGTCTGTCCACGACCCGTCCCCAGGCCAGCCAGTGCTGGACACCACGGCTGTGCACAGGCTGCCCCAGCCCCCAGCTCCCAGACAGCCCCGACCGTCCCTCTGAGGCCCGATCCCCAGCCCTCTCAGTGCTCCCGGCCCTCCTCCCGCTGCCCCTGTCCTGGGCACCCACGGCCCTCTCGGTGGCCTTCATCCCTGCCCGCCACGCTCCCTCTAAGCTGTGCCCCAGGTTCCCTCCCACAGTGCTCGGGGAGCACCGAGACCCGCCCCTCGCATGCGAGGCCTGCACACTGCGCGAGGCTCAGCGAGGTCGCTGGATGGACCAGCCGGGCTCTGCCTTTGAGTAGCAGGAGGGCCGGGTGGGGGGGGGGGGGGGGCAGGGGCAGCCTCCGGCGAGGACAGAACCAAAGCACCTGGCCACCTCCCGTTAGTCCTGATGGGGTCGTGAAAAATGCCCCGTGCTAATGTTGGTGAAAATGCGGCGTGGAGACGGAACTCGTCCTTTTGCAGTCGGCGTTTCCATAAACCTAAAATCGCTAGAAAATAAGTCCACCAGAACTGCCGCTTCAGACGGGCCTCGGAGGACATGTACGAGGTTAAAAAGTGTGAAGAATTAAAAATAAATAAAATAGCTCCTTAAAAAAAATGACGTCTATTTGCCGTCTTGTCTAGATCTGACTGATGTAGAAGAATCACCAGGTTTAAGTATGAAGACGATTTTGGGTACAATTTATGCTAAGAAAAATCCGAAAACAAACCAGCCACTCCCATTGATTGATCGAAGAGCGGCTTTGATGTATTTATAAGGTATTATCTAGCCAATAAAATGATGTTACAAAAAAAAGTGTCAAGAAACCACAGAGGGAACCACATCGATACAGTATCTCTTCGGGAGGTGCAGCCGCAGGAATGTTTAGCTTTAAGACTAAAACCTACAAACATATCTACATACATAAGGCCCTTACCAGCCCTTCTACTTTTAGAGTTGGACCGTTTTCATAAGGTGAGCTGAGTTCCTGTACAAAAACAGGGCACCACGGTCGTTTCATCATGCCCCCGAGACCCCCCGTAGCATAGCGTGTGTTACAGTCATTTATGAGTGAGTGATGAAAGCAGACATCCCCGGGGGTCACTTTGCCCTTTACAGGAATGTCCGTCGCAGTGGCCCGGCCCAGTCACAGGTTCAGGCTGTCCTAAGTGCTGGTCATCTAACTTAAACGCCTGTTTCGGAGGAAGAGGAGGTGGAGAGAGGGAGTCCAGAACGGGCAGAGTCCACGGCGCCCTTCGGCCCCGTCGGTGCGGATGCAGGAGCGACTGTCGCCGGAGTCCAGGGCACGGCCAGAGGCAGCACCTCCCTGCGTCCCCGAGTTCACAGGTGGGTGCCTGCGGCAGGTGCCACCGGGAGCCACTGAAGGAAGCCAGGCGGAGGCGCGTCTGCCAGAAAGAGGCCCCAGGGTGGGAGGAGGCGGACGGGCGTTCGTGTCTTTCTGCCTTTGCCAAGTGGTGGCGCCTTAGCGGGGACCAAGCCGGGCGCCCCTGGTGCTTCCAGCAGGCCTGGCCCGGCGGAGGGCACGAGACCCCCACGCGCTCCAGAGGCAGCTGCCAGGCCGTCGTGCCGGGGCCGACCGATTTGTAGATCCAATACTTGATACTTTGGCAACGAGTTTATTGAACACTTGTCGAGTCCGGCCCGGGCATCCGTGCTGCGGCCGGGGCGCGAGGGGCCACGAGTCCAGGAAGGACGGCGACGGGCCGGTCTGGCGCTTCCTGCAGCCGCCGCCTCGCTGCTTCCAAGCGGGCAGAGGAGACGTGAGTGGCGCTCCCGGCCGGTCCTAGCGGTGGCCGCCGTACTTGGCCATCCAGTCTGTCCTCCCGTGCACCGAGGACACGGGCGGGGCGCGGGGCAGGAGGCTCAGGTTCTGGGCCGAGGGGTGGCAGGTGGGTCCCGAGAAGACCCGGCCGGGCTGGGTGCCCCAGGCGTATTCTGGAAGAGACCGGAGCAGCACTAAGCATCGACGGCACGCGGGAGGGGCCTGCCCGGGGACGGGACGCTGGGAGGGGGCTCTCCGCCAGATTCCTGGGGTGGCCGGGGGTGGGTTTTTTGGTAAAAAAATAAATTCAAGTAAAAATTCTAATAGTAAAAAATTCATATTAAATCAAAAATCTAGCTAAAAATAAAAACGACGACGACAACATTCAACCAGGCGACCGGGGTCGTCAGCCACGGACAGAGCTCCCGGTTCAGGGCCGTCTGTGTTGGGGGGCTGTGAAAAGCCCGTCCGGGTGGTCCCACGGCCCCACCCACAGAAACAGCTGCCACGGATCCACCAGCCAAGGCTGGCGCCGACCCACCGCACGGGGTTGGCCGGGTCAGTTCCGCCCAGCGTTCCTGCCTGTCCCGGAAGGACGGCTCCCTTCTCCCCTGGGGTGGCCGCAACCCTGCACCTCTGTGACCAGGCAGCAGGATCTGCAGAGCTCGGGCTCCCACTTTCCTCGTCGGCTGCCGAGGACGCTGTGGGAAGGCCCTGGCAGTCGGCTGGGGGCCGCCCCTCCTGGGGGTCTACATCAGCCCTGGCTCTGGGTTCGGTGTCACTCGTCACTCGGGGCAGCACTCGGACCCGGGTCCACCCGCCCCGTTCTCCCGCTGGCCCTTCCTCTGGGGCTTGTGCTGTGGGATGGTGTGGGGGGTCTTCTGGGGTTCTCGGCTCTGTGGGCACGGTCAGGAGTCCAAGGCCTTCCCTCCCGGCCTCGGGGATGTCCAGGCGTGGGCAGGCAGGGGCTGCAGAGGTGGACACTCGCTCTGGGGGACACCAGCCCGGCTTGGGCTGTTCGTGGGGAGGGTTTGGCTCCGCCCTCGGGTGCCTGCGTAAGGCGGCCGGTGCCACGCCAGGCCCTGGGCTCTCGCGAGGGGCATGTGTGGGTTTGGGGACCAGGCTCGGGGCTCGCGCGTGCAAGGCGGAGCCGGGGAGGTGGTGGCCTCGCCTGTGGGTTCCTGCTCCCGGCGGTGACGAGGTGCCGGGAGCCCAGGGTGGGCTTTGCTCCCGGAGGCGTCGGGTGGGTGACGTTGGTGACGACCTACGTGGTCTTCCCGTGGGGACGGGCTCAGAGGCTGAGGGCGCAGGCACTTCCTGCCCAACGGGAACGGGGTTCCTAAGCCTCACTGACCACGCGAGGGGGCGAGTCACTTCTTTTTTTTACCTTTTCTCCTATCACCGTCTGTGTGGAGACCTGACAAGCAGAGGGAACAGTCACCACAGGGCATTTGCTGTCGACGCGGAAACGTGTGGGGTGGAGAAGGGGGGGGGTCGGCGAGAAGCCCCCCTCCCCGGCCCGCAGCCCCTCGGCCCGGCGCTCTGCCGTCCCGCCTGTTAGCAGGCCGCAGGCCGCCAAGGTGCCAGGGAGCCCCGATGGGACTCCCGGTCGTGCTGCCGAGAACGGGGCAGCGGCTGAGGGGCTGGGTGGGCAGCTCCGGCAGGCGCAAGGTGCTCCAGGCGGCCCGAAACGCCTCAGAGAAGAGTCAAGGAACTTTCCAGATGGGCTCGCACGCCCCAGGTCTGCGGGGGTGGAGGAGCCAGGGGCTCCCCCCAAGACGAACATGTGCCCCGCCTGGGAGGGTCCCTTGCCCAGGTCCCTGGTGCCCCAGGAGACCCCACCACACACACAGGCCCGCGTGGCTTCCTGCAACCGCCCAGGCCTGACCTGCGTCCCAGGCTCTGGGCCCGGCTGGACGCCACCGGCTCCCGGCTGCCCTTACCTGACGCCGTCGCGCTGGGAGGTGCCAGGTGCATCCTCTGGCCGGCCGAGCCCACTGCTTTCTTGAGGAAGGAAGGGACATATCCCGACTGGCTGTAAGGGGCATGGCTGCTCAGGTGTCCTGGGGACGTATCGAAATGTCCCCGTCAGAGGGGGCCTCTCGCAGACCTGCCCAGCCTCAGAGCCCCGCACTGCAGCCCGCCCATCCCCCACGGCGACCCACGGATCCCAGTGACCCTTCATTGCAACCCCCAGTTTCCAGCCACCCACGGATCACGGCGATCCACGGATCCCAGAGACGCACCCACCACAGCATCGCAGCCAAACAGAGGATCCCACGGAAACCCAGCCCCCAGGGATGCCTGCCACGGCCCAGAGCGCCCCTCGGAGCAGCCCCTTGTGCCGGTGCTGTGCTCTCAGCAGGGACCCTGCCCGTGAGGCCCCAGTGCACCTCCCCTTGGGACACTGCAGGGCAGGGCTGGCACACGCGAGAGACCCACACAGGGCCAAGGAGGGAAAACAGTGGGAAGGGGACACACGCCCCAAGTGTCACCAAGCGACACAGGACAGACAAGGGCAGTGGATCAGGCCTGAGTGTGGGGCGGGAGAGGGTGGGGTGTGGATGGAGCCCCCGGGAGAGAGGGGCTGAGCCTGCCTGGGCTACGGGTCACCAGGCTAGAGCCTGTTCCTGGGGCTATGGGGGCAGCAGCTCTGGGCCCAGCAGCCCCAGCCGAGGGCCACTGTACGCGCCATGGGCCTTGTCACCCCTGCAGCGACCTCGTACGCTGGACTGGCCCCACGGCTCCGGGGGGGGGGGGGGGGTGGACGTGTGAGAACACCTCACCAACGCCCCCTTGTCACATAGGGCAGCTGCATGCTGAGTCCCGGGGGCTGGAGGGGGCGTCCCGGGGGCCTCTGCCTTTTCACCTCCCATGTGCGGCCCTGGGGAACGCGTCACCAGGGGTCTTGGGGTTCCCTCCAGTGACTCTGCTGGATGGCCGGAAGCCATCGTGACTGAGGACAAGCGCAGAGCCTGACCGAGGCCACGGCCGTGCCCTCCCGGGCAGTGCCCAGAGGGAACCTGGCAGAGCCCGATGCCCGCCATACCCGGAACTGCCAGGCGAGTCCCTACCTTAGCCAGAGGGGCCGAGTCAGAGTGCAGACGGCTGGCCGTACCCCTGCACGCCAGCCCCCTCCTGTGGGGACACTGCCTGAGCCACCCCCCTGCTGTGGCTTCCAGCTGGCCGCGATCGCAGGCCGTTGGGTGGAGCCAACGGAATCTGAACCCCAACGTGGTCTAGTGCCTTACGCAGGGACACATGTTTGAGCAAGTTCCCTTTGTACGCGGGGAAACTGCACGTGAGTCCCTGGGTCTTTCACACAGACCTCAGCACGCAACTCTGTTGCCCCTAATTTCAAAAATTACCCAACTGTCACACCAAAAAAGCAGAGAAAACATGTTATTAAATATTCACAAAATCATAACTCATAAGCAAACCAACAAAGGGAGTCTTTTCTGTAAGCCCAAACTTAATTATAACTAGTTCACTTTAAAAACTTCACCTCTCTGGGGCTGGAGCGATAGCACAGCGGGGAGGGCGTCTGCCTTGCATGCGGCCAACCTGGGTTCGATCCCCAGCATCCCATATTGTCCCCCGAGCACTGCCAGGAGTAACTCCTGAGTGCAGAGCCAGGAGTAACCCCCAAGCATCACTGGGTGTGACCCAGAAAGCAAAAAAAAAAACCCCAAAAAACCACTTAACCTATCTGGGGCTTAAGATGAATAAATCTTAGTAGACCCTGTTACCTTTTCTGGGGGGGGGGGGGGGGAGGTGACAGGGGAGTGCCACATCTGGCATTGCTCAGAGCTCACTCCCTGTTCTGTGCTCAGGGTGACTCCCAGCTCTGTGCTCAGGGCTCACTGCCAGTTCTGTGCTCAGGGCTGACTCCTGGTTCTGTGCTCAGGGATCACTCCCGGTTCTGTGCTCAGGGTGAATCCCGGCTCTGTGCTTTGGGCTCACTGCCAGCTCTGTGCTCAGGGATCACTCCTGGGGGACCATAGGGAATGCCGGGATCAAACCCAACGCTACAACTCAAACCCAGGCAAGTGGCCCACTGCTGGGCCTGAAAACTAAAAATGAAAAAAAAAAGTTATAAAGAAAATCATAAAGAAGAGGAAACTCATTTATAGGACCCGACTCTGTTCTCTGAGGCTAAATCAACGTGTCATCTGTTCCACGGGGAACTCTGCACAGACGGGACGGGAGGGCTCAGACCCGTGTGGGCTGGGGCAGCTGTGGGCGGGGCTGGACGCTGCCACTGCCCTGGCGCAGACAGGGTCCCGCTTCCGGGCGATCCTTTTCCTTTGAGGGTCTTAGCTGGAAGCAGGGAGACCGTGAACACGCGCAGAGGTGCCGGGAATGAAGAGAGCTCTGTCCCGCCCGGTCGGGCGAGGGGCAGACACACGCCGGGGGCTCATACACGGTCTTACCCGTCTCCCGGGGGGTCCCGGGGGGCGGCCCAGGCTCTGGGCTGGGTGGGCGTCCCCACCTGGCCCGGGGGACCCAGCACGGTCGCGGGCGCCTTTACCTACGTCGCCCCTGCGCAGGGCCAGCTCTGCCTGGATGGGCGCCAACGACTCGGGGAGCAGCCGGCCCTTCCAGGCGCCCGGGGGCACGTCCTTCCTGCTGGTCAGCAGGGCCACGTTCTTGGGGTTCACACCTGAAAGAACAAAACAGTCACTTCACGGCGAGCGCCCGAGTGTAGGCACGAATCTGGGAACTGAAGCGGAGCTGAGACAGGGGGGTGGGGGCCGGTCACGGCCTGACGGTCACTCCTCCCAGTCAGCCTGGCGGTCACACTCCTGGCGGTCACAGTCTGACGGTCACAATCCTCCCTGTCCGCCTGACAGTCACACTCCCTGGTCACGGCCTGACGGTCACACTCCTGATGGTCACAGCCTGATGGTCACTCCTCCTGGTCAGTCTGACGGTCACACTCCTCCCGGTCGCAGCCTGATGCTCACTCCCCCTGGTCAGCCTGACAGTCACAGTCCCGGTCACAGCCTGACGGTCACACTCCTCCCGGACCGAGTGACCAGACCCACCCGGCAGACCCTCACCATGAGATGGACACGGGGGGGGGGTTGATGGACACCAGGAGGAGTGACCGGGTGGGACCTCACTGGCTAGGTGACCGGTAAGCATGAGGTGGCGGCTGGGAGCGGGGGGCAGCCCGACAGAACGAGGCCCCGGCTGCCCCCGACATGGGGCTCTCGGCAGCCCGGGCTAGTCCCCGGCCACTGCTTTAACCCCGGGGAGTCACAGACCCCAGCCGTGTCCACTGTCCTCAAACTGGACTTTGCCGCGGGGGTCTGTGCCGGCCCCCAGGCTCCGCTCGAGCCCCTAGAGCTGCCCCGTCTCCGCGGCCCCGCACCCCTGCCTCCCCGGGACCCCGCAGCCCTCCCGCCTGGGGTTGTGCCCTCCTGTGGCCCGTGGCCCGCGTCCGGCTGGCCTACCCTGGGCGTCCAGCGCTCAGCCGGGCTGTGGCTGCCGGCCCCTGCGGCCCGCCTCACCCCACCGTCTGCCTCCCTCTGCCTCCGCGCCCGAGTGGGTCCCAGCACCGCCCGGCTCAGACCTGGGTGGGGCTGCGCGGGGCGGTGGGCCCTCTCCCGGGCGCGGGACGTGGGGCGGGGGGCACCGTCCCGCGTGGCCGCCCCCCCCCCGCTTACCGGGAAGGTACCGCGACTGCTTCAGGTAGTACTGCTTGGCCGTGGAGACCGCGGGGGTCGCGGCCGGCGGGGGGTCCGCCTGCAGCAGCCCGGCGGGGGGCTCGTCCTTGCTGTCCCTCGGGCGGACCGCGCTGCCCAGGGGGCCCGACTCTGGAGGCCTCGGGGGACAGAAGGCGCGTCACGGCGGGGACCCCGCCCGCCCGCCCGCGCCCCGGCCGAGCACCGAGCCGGGAGCCCACCGCGCCCAGACCCCGCCCGCGCTCACCGGAAGGGCGAGTCTCGCCGCCGCGGCCCCCTGCCCGCGCCCAGGCTGGGCTTCTTGGAGTGGGAGGCGCCCGCGTCCTCGTCCTCCGGGGGGGTCCCAGCTGTCCCCGGACTTGAGCACGGCCTGGCCCCACCGCCGCCGGCCGCTTCTGTGGCCCTGGGTGCTGGTCGGCTTCTGCGGGCGGGGGGACAGTCAGGGGGGCCGGGGGCTGGCCAGCGGGTGGACAGAACGGGGGCCGTGGGCGTGGGCGGGGGCCCGCGAGGGTGGGCGGGCGTGTGGGCGGGGCCTTGGGTGGGGGCGGGGCCAGGAGGGAGGTAACCTGGGTGTGGGCGTGGCCATAGCGTGTGGGCGTGGCCGCGGGTGTGGGCGGGGCATGAGTGGGTGTGGCCATGGTGTGAGAGTGGGAGGGGCTTGGGTGTGGGCGGGGCCTGCGAGGGTGGGCGGGCGTGTGGGCGGGGCCTTGGGTGGGGGCGGGGTCAGGAGGGGATGGGGCCTGGGTGTGGGCGTGGCTTTGTTGTGGGCGGGGCCGCGAGTGTGGGCGGGGCAGGGGTGGATGTGGGTGTGGCCATAGTGTGGGAGCGGGAGGGGCTTGGGTGTGGGCGGGGCCTCAGTGTGAATGTGGGCGGGGCCGTGGGCGTGGGCGGGGCCTGCGAGGGTGGGCGGGTGTGTGGGCGGGGCCTTGGGTGGGGGCGGGGCCAGGAGTGGAGGCAACCTGGGTGTGGGCGTGGCCATAGCGTGTGGGCGTGGCCGCGGGTGTGGGCGGGGCAGGAGCGGGTGTGGCCATAGTGTGGGAGTGGGAGGGGCTTGGGTGTGGGCGGGGCCTCGGTGTGAATGTGGGCGGGGCTGTGGGTGTGGGCCGGGCCGGAGCCGTCTGAGACCCCTCAGGCGGGGGGTCTCCCCGACCCCCAAGCCTCCGCCTCTCCTCACGTGGAGTTCTATGGCATCTGTGAAGTCCGTTTTCCAACGCGACGGTCCCCTTCTAGAAGGGGGCCTCGCAAGCAGCTCTGGGGGGTGTTCGCGCAGGAGGGGCGCTGGGATGGGACCAGCACCCTGGGGCCCACCCCCCACTCAGGGCCCGTCTGTGGCAGAGGCTGTGGACAAAGGGTCACTTTGGGGAGCTTCTGATTTCATTCACAACAAACCAAACTCCTGTTCTTTGGTTTCTGGGCCACACCCCGCCGTGCTCAGGGTTACTCCTGGCTCAGTGCTCAGGGATCACTGGGGGGACGATATGGGGAATCAAACCCTGGTCGGCCCCATGCACAGCCAGCACCCCTCCCCCCCCGCCCCCCCCCCCCCCCCGTACATCTCTCCGGCCCCAACAAGCCAGACTCTTTGACAGGAGAAGGAAGCAGGGCTGCACTGGCCCAGGGCTGGACGGGCCAGCGTGGTGCTGAGGTGAGGAAGTGAGGGGCAGAGGGAAGCCCTCCAGGCCGAGCAGAGGGTGGGCGATGCAGTGTGGACAGCTTTGGCACGGGAGGGGCAGAGATTGCGGGGTTGCTGAGAGAGGCTTGGGGCCGAGGCTGGGCGTGGCTGCGAGTGACCGGAGCTTTCACTGGCCCCCTACGGTCTGCCCAGTGCCACCGGGGCATCCGGAGCAAGCTGGCCTGCCAAGGTCCCTGGGCAGGAGGCCGTGCCAGTGACCGCAGCCGTCGGGGAGGGACCCCAGCGGGCAGGACGTGCAGCCCCGCGGGACCTGCCCCAGTGGCCCCGAGTCTGAGGTCTGAGCTGCCCGGCCACCGGCCATCAAACCCAGAATTCAGGAACAAAAACCCAACTACTAAATGGGTCGGCGCGGGGCAGAGCAGCCAATCCAGGAGGCCTCGGACCCAGGAGTGGGCGTGGGAGCGGGGCTGAGACCCAGCGCAGGGCCTCACTGGGTGGGCGGGGGGTCTCATGTGCCACTCAGGGAAACACCAGAACCGCACAGCCTCCTGGGGTCCCCGGGGACATCTGACATCAGCCCCGTGCTGGACAGGGGGGGACAGGGCATCCCATTGTCATGGATGAGGTCACGCCGGCACAAGGGCTGCCTTTCTAGAAGGTTCCACGAGAGCCACGGGCAGCCTGGCTCTAGGTCAGTCGCGACAGTGGAGGGTTAAGTCTGCTGGGGGCTCACACCCCCGCGGCCTTGTTTCCTGGCTGGGTCCAGGGCCACGCTCTGAGCGGACGGGGACGCACTCCCCCACCCCTCTTCCCTGCCTGAGAAGCACAGAGTGCCGGGACCCAGCCGGCGCTGAGCACCACGCAGTCCTGGGCTGGCCGGCCCTGCCCCAGACAGACAGCGGGAGCCAATGCCCAAGTCCTGGGGGAGGACAGGGCAGGGCTCGCGGCCCATGGTTCCTGGGAGGGGCCGGGGCCACGTTCTGCACAGCCTGACTGGCCCTAAACGCCACACTTGGAAGGACCCAGGCCACCGGGAGCCGTGACAAACTCCCTGAGCGCGCCCAACGGTGCCGGGGAACAGGTCACGCGCTCCTCCCACCCAGAGGTGCCGCCTGTCGGGACCCTCCAGGTTAGGGTTCGGGCTTCTCGGGGGCCACGTTCTCTCGGCTCCTGCTCTGCACCTTCGGCATCTCAGTGGCAGTTCAAGTCGGGGGGAGCAGAGACGGCAGAGCAATAAGGCGCCGGCCTGGCACACAGCCGGCCCAGGCCCCATCCCAGGACCGCAGAGGAGAGATCCCTGAGCACTGAGCCAGGAGTCGGCCCTGAGCACCCGCAAGGATGAGAGGAGAGTCAGCTTGCCTGCTCTGAAACCTTCCTCATCGGCCCTGCCGGAATTTCCATTTCTCTGGTGCCAACGGGAGCGTTGCGGTAACCGGGAGTGGAGGCCCCCCCCTCGCATCCCCCCACTTCCCGGGGGGACCTACCTCGGGCCCCTGCCTGATGATGTGCGGGAGCAGCGGCGGCGACGGCGGCTTCTGTGACGCGTGCGGCTTGGGCACGGCCTGGCCGGGGCCGTGGGGCAGCAGGTGGGCGGGCTGCAGGGGCAGGGGGTCCACGGGGTCCTTGGCGCCGGGCGGAGCCTTGGGTCCTGGTGGGTGCCCCGCCCTGCTCGCAGGCTGTTTCGACTCGAGATGGTGGACGGCAGAGCCCAGCACTTGGCCCACTTGAAAATAGGGGTGCTTCAGAGCCTGCGGGCGGGGGGACAGGGCGGCGCTCAGCACGGGCTCCAGTGGCTGTGGGCGCAGGGACAGGGTGGGCGCTCACCCGCGCCTGGGGGGGCTCGGAGGATCAAACCCGCCCTCCCCGCTGTCCTGTCCCCAGAAGCCACTAGTGGACACTGGCCAAGCCACTGTCTCTGGCCCAGCAAGCACCAGAGCGGGGAGCATCCAGCTTCCCTCTGGTCAGTTTCCCGGGGGTCACCAGGCTGGAGATGTTGCCCAGCCATGCAGGGAGGTGCCCTGAGTGACCAGTGGAGCCCCAGCACTGCAGACAGACAAGAGGAGCCCGACGGAGAGGCGGCCGGGGGAAAGGGAGAGTGTGAGAAATTTTGTTAAAAAAAAAGGAAGAAGAAGGGGTTGGAATGATAGCACAGCGGGGAGGGCATTTGCCTTGTACACGGCCGACCCGGGTTTGATCCCCAGCATCTCATATGGTCCCCTGAGCACCGTCACGAATAATTTCTGAGTGCAGAGCCAGGAGTGACCCCTGAGCATCACTGGGTGTGACCCAAAAAGTGTAATAATAATAATAATATTTTTTTAAAGAAATTAGTGGAATACTTGGTGGGAAGTATAATTTGCAGGGATTTTTTTGAAAAATCACTTGTGGGGGCTGGAGCGATAGCACAGCGGGGAGGGCGTTTGCCTTGCACGCAGCCACCATGACCGACCCGGGTTCGATTCCCAGCATCCCATATGGTCCCCCATGCACCACCAGGAGTAATTCCTGAGTGCATGAGCCAGGAGTAACCCCTGAGCAACGCCAGGTATGGCTCAAAAAGCAAAAAAAAAAAAAAAAAAAAAAATCACTTGTGATCTGAATATCCAGGCAAAGACTGTATTTAAAAACTTAAGCACTGGCTGAGTTTGATGTGGTCACGGAGCTAGAATGGACATCAGGCTCTTGTCCTCATGTGACTGACCCAGTCCCGTCCCCAGCACTCAGGGTCCCCCAGCCCCCAGGCCTGCAAGAGAGACCCAGAGCACAGAGCCAGGAGTAAGCCCTGAGCACAGCTGGCTGTAGCCAAAACCAAAATAAACTAGTGGAACTGGAGTGACAGTATGTGGGGGCACCTGCCTTGCATGCAGCCGACCCAGCTTTGATCCCCGGCACCCCCCAGTGGTCCTCAAACACCACCAGGAGTAATCTCTGAGCACTGAGCCAGAAGTAACCTCTGAGCACTGAGCCAGGAGTAATCTCTGAGCACTGGGCCAGGAGTAATCTCTGAGCACTGAGCCAGAAGTAACCTCTGAGCACTGAGATAAGAGTAAGCCCTGAGCACAGAGCCAGGAGTAAGCCCTAAGCATCGCCGAGTGTGGCCCCCAAACAACACAGTAACCTGTAGCCACTAGGGGCAGATGGCAGGGAGGAGAGGTAGGGGGGAATGTGGGCCTGGAGGGGTGCGGCCCAGCTCACAGCAGGCACCCCTAGGTGACCCTGGGCCGCAGCTCGTCAGGCCTGAGACTCTGCTCGCTGGGCCGGCCCAGAGTCACTGGGCGGCCAGGGCCCTGAGCACCCCTCGAGAGGCCCCCGATGCTGCAGCTCAGAGTCCATCGGAGCCAGTGGACGCGTGCTGGTGTGGGGCGCGTGGAGGACACACAGCTCTCAGAGAGCCGCTTCGGGTGGACGCCCCCGCCGCTCCGTCCCCGAGTCGCGGGTGAGGCTGCGCGGAGCAGGGCCGTCAACCCGAGCGTCTCAGCCGACGGTCCTGCCAGCGTCTCTCGCTCTCCATCCTTTAGGTTTTGCCCTGGTTTTTAGTATTTCTTTTCTTCCCTCCCACCAACACTGAGACCTGTTTATTCTTTTCCTAGTTCCTTTAGCTCAGAAGTTCCCACACTGGTGTGGCTTACCTCCCCCTTTCAGAAAAAATAAACAAACAAAAATCACTCAGCACCCCAGAAACCTCCCGCTTCTGGCGGGCAAACAGCTTCCGAGTCCCTGCCATGGGCCCAGGCCGCTCTGCCCCGGCCCCCTCCACAGCACCCAAGGCGGCTGTCCCGGGCAGCGGCCCCAACTGCCCGGCAGGTGGAGGGCACCATTCCTGTCCCGAACTCCCCTGCAGGGCCGCGCCTCGTTGATTGGGGTCCCACCCGGCAATGCTCAGGGCTCCTCCCGGGGGGTCGCCCGGGGTCATGCCCAGTGGAGCACCGGAGTGCTGCTGCCCGGGTCCCCGGCCCTGCCTCCGGGCCTCACACCACCCTTGCCGTCGTCCCAGCCCTCTAGGCCCATTTCGCCGGGTCCCAAAGTTTGGGGACACGATTTTCCCCCTCGTCTCCGGCTGGTTTCTCTCCGGAACCCGGGTCCCGCGGTGGCTGCGCTCTGGCGAGTATGAGTCCAGCCTCCTCTCGTCTTCTCGTGCTCCTTCGGGGCCTGACCCCACAGATGGGGCCTCCCCTGCCCAGGGCTCCTGACGTTATTTTATTTTTGTTTTGTATTTTGACTTTAGGGTCACACCCGGTGATGCTCAGGGCTGACTCGTGGCTCTGCACTCAGGGATCACTCCTGGTGGTGCTCGGGGGACCCTAGGGGGTGCCAGGGACAGAACTCAGGTCGGCCCCCTGCCAGGCAAATGCCCTGCCCCCTGTGCCGTCTCTCCAGCCTGGTTTTATCGGGGCCATGATACCCGAAAAACCACTGGCCTGGCTCTCAGCACTCCCCGGGGTCCCGAGCCAAACATCCTTTGATTTTGCGAACTGGGCGCCTTCGTCTCTGCTCTCTGGCTGGGACTCTGAGAAGAGACGCATCTTCGTGGGAGCGTCACCATCCCCCCGGCACCTCACGCAGGAACCCCACCCGCCGGCTGTCTCTCAAGCACCCTGACACCACGCGGAACCGTCTGCCCCACCTGGCTGGCGGTCGGCCGCTTCTTTGGGTCCCAGTTCAGCATCTCTGTCATGAGCCGGATGGCCTCGTGGCTGGCGTTGGGAATCAGCGTTTTCAGGTTTATCGGGACACACTGAGGGAAGCGGAAGTTCATCGAGGACGCCAGCTGGTAGCCCTCCGGCCAGTCGCTCTGTTTTCAGGTTACATTGGAGAGGGGGGGCGTCATTCTGAGTTAGTAACGGTCACATAACACACACACAGATGCCAATGAAACGCCAGTATGTGCCCCCGAGAAGGGCTTTAAGGTAGTTCAGAACGGCGACGCCTCCGTGCGGTGTTTGGGTCTTTGGGGGGCTCAGGGCCTACTCCTGGCTCTGCTCCAGGGTCGCTCTGGGCACTGGTGGGATGGAGCTGGGTGGGCGCGTGCACAGCAAGCCCCCTCCTGCCTGTCCTCTCCCGGCCCCTGCGCTGGGCCCTGCTCGAGTGGGAGACTGGACCCCAGGACGGGCTCTTGGTACAGGCTGGTGCTGAGTGGCCATGTCCGCGTGGGGACCAGCCCGCTGCTGCCCGGGTTCGGAAGCTGCGCCCACTGCTCAGCGTTGGTCACGGGGCTGTGGTGAGGCTGTGGACAGGCTGAAACGCGGTCAGTGGCCTCAGAAGGAGCATGTGGGGAGGGCTACGAGATCTCAGTCCCAGAGACGAGCCCCGGCTGGAGCTGCCCGGGCGGAGATGGAACAGCCTGGAAGGGCCCAGCAGGCACCCGGAGGTGGGGGATGGGGGGTTGGGCTCCATCCCGGCCCCAGCGTGGACGTGGCGGCGAGTGTCCCTGCCATGGCACCTCTCTCCCTCAGTTTGCAGGACTCGCCCGTGGGGTGGGGGAAGCAGCAAACCCGGGCCCTGGAGAATCGGCCGCCAACCGGCCCACCCACGGGCCCGTGTGGACGTGGGGCGGGTGGGCAGTGAGGGGCCCCCCATGGAGCCCCCGCCTCGGACAGCCCGGCCCTGACTCACTTTTCGGGGGGTCCCGAGGACTTGGCAAATCTTGAAGATCTCGTCCACCTCGCTGGTCCCTGGGAAGAGCGGCCGGAAGGTGTAGAGCTCGGCCATGATGCTGCCCACGGCCCACACGTCGATGGGGGAGCTGTAGGCCGAGGAGCGCAGGAGCACCTCGGGCGCGCGGTACCTGCGGGCGGGCGGGCGGGCGGGCGGACGCTGTGCGCGGAGCCGGGCACTCGGCTGGGGGCCCCAACCCCGTCGCAAGCCGAGGCCAACACCACGGGCGCTCCCGACACAGCGCGAGGGACCGAGGCACCAGGGGGGTGTTTGGGCATGACCCCTGCACCAAGCAGCAGCGGGGATGCTCTGGGGGAGTGTGAGTGTGCGGGTGAGGTCGCGCGGGTGAGATCCGAGTCCCGCTCTCGCCACCCTTCCCTCCTCCCTCCCGGAGTCACAGACCCGCCCTCTCTTCCGAGACAAACTGGGTGGGGGGGGTCCACGCGGGCTCCGGGCCGGGCGCTCACCATCTGGTGGACACGTAATCCGTGTACGGCGGCTGCGACCGGAGTTCTCTGGCGAGTCCGAAATCGGCGATTTTCACAAGTTCTGGCCCCATGCACAGCAAGTTTTCTGGTTTCATGTCCCTATGGAAGAAACCTTGGTCGTGTAGAGGAGAGACAGTGAATGGTCATGCGAGACACGCCTGCTAGGAACACAACCCAGCCAAGCCGCGTCAGAGTTCGGAGCGTGAACCTGGGGGCGCGGAGCCTGTCTCGCGCCTGAGAAGGGGCTGGGGGCGGGGGCTGCTGCCCACCCGACGCCTGCCAGGAGGCCCCGGCAGCTCGAGTGGCCGAGAACTGTCCACTTCACCTGCCCTTGTTTTTGTTTTTGTTTTTGTTTTTTCCCTTTTGGGTCACACCTGGTGATGCTCAGGGGTCACTCCTGGCTCTGCATTCAGGAATGACCCCTGACGGTGCTCAGGGAACCTTTGGGATGCTGGGATTGAACCCGGGTCGGCCGCGTGCAAGGCAAACGCCCTCCCCGCTGGGCTGTCTCTCCAGCCCCCACCTTCCCTCGTTTGCAGGACAGGACAGGAACCACCACCAGTCCCCACCCCTGGTGAGACGAAAAGCTTGGTTGGCCGAGCACTCAGCTGCCCAGGGCCCTGCTCGCTGCTTTCACTGGTCCCTCCCGGAGGGGAGGGCAGCCTGGCAGAGGCCCCGGCCCTGGCTCTTTCCCGGGAGGGCGGCTGAGGGGGCTGGGGGCCCAAGGATCCTTTCTTCCCTTTTCGGCGTTTGGGCCGCAGCTGCAGTGCTCGGGGCTTTCTTCTGCTCAGGGGTCGCCGCTGGTGGGCGCCGGGGACCCGGGGTTTGCACTGGGGTCGCCCTCATGCAAGGTGAGCACTGTACACTTTGGCTCTTGGCCTAACTCCCCACCACGGTTGTTGAAAACACTAAAGGCCAGTGTCCGTGTGCCCATGCCAGACGCCAGCGGTAGATTTATCTGGCACTTAACAACATGCGAGTCCCCTCGCGCTCCCGATGGTGAGCCAAGGGTGACGGCAGGGGCCTACCGTGCTTGTGGATGAAGGCCAGCCCCTGCAGGATCTGGTACATGATGTTCCTGATCACCGACTCGGGGAACAGCTTGTTTCTGTGAAGGAGCAACGGTCCCCGGTCAGGCAGGGCGGCCCCGGCCCCACCCACACCCTCCAGGGCCGCGCCCTGCCCTGCCGCCTCGTGCCGACTCCAGCCCTGTCCTCTCGTACCCGGGGCTTGGGGAGGCAGGGGCCTGTGTTTGAGCGTGAACCTTAAGAGTGTTGTTTTGATGCTTGGTCAAAAAAGTGAGAACTCAAACCCTAGGCTGAATATATCATCTAAACATTCAGTAGCTAAATTTTATTTTTTTTGCTTTTTGGGTCACACCTGGTGATGCACAGGGGTTCCTCCTGGCTCTGCATTCAGGAATGACCCCTGGCGGTGCTCGGGGGACCCTATGGGACGGTGGGGATCGAACCCAGGTCGGCCGCGTGCAAGGCAAACGCCCTCCCCGCTGTGTTATCAGTCCAGCCCAGTAGCTGAATCCTTATCAATCTCAAGAGGAACGTGGAACCCGGGGAGCTGGGCAACGCTAAGCCGAGTGTGACGTCTGAGTCACAGGCACGTGTTTTAGGGACAGAAGTCGCGGGGCTTCCGACGACACCCTGTGCTGGGGCTGCCGGGACACAGAAACGCGCCGCAGATGACGACTTCTAAGAACACGCTCCAATCACCCGGCAGACGCCAGCTACTGCTTCACTCAGCAGCAGCAGGAGAGAGTGGGCGCTGATTCCCTGGGTCTTCGAACCCGTGCTCAAACTCTGCCATGTAGCACACACACACCCCAGGCCCCATGTGAGGACGGGGCCGCATGGCAGCTTCCCCGAAGCCCGGGCTCAGGCCCTGCCAAGGCTCCGCTAACGCTGGCCTCGGCTCGGGGTGGAGACGTTTAGGGCCGAACCCCTCAGTGACCGTCATCTTCAGCACGGCGGGAGGGCCACCCGGGCAGTGCTCGGGGCTGACTCCTGGCTGTCTGCCCAGGGGTCTCTCCTGGCAGGGTTCAGGGGGCATCTGGGGTGCCGGGCATGGAACCCGGGTCAGCACCGGGTGCTCTCATCAGGACCGACAGCGCCAGCCTGCCCCAACCTTCCCCAGAGCCCACCCCAGGCAACTTCCTCACCGACTCCGGAACCCAGGGCCACCCTTGGGCTCACAGCGCGTGTGACCTGTCCTGTGTGTCGGAGGCCGGGACCCCCGCCAAGGGGAGCGCTGACTCGGAACCCCACCCTGCCGCTGTCACCTGCGGGGTCTCCGGGGAGCCCGGGGGAAACGCCGTTTGCCGGACAGACCTACCTGTCTTTCATTAGTTGATAGAGGTTTTCTTTCATGTACTCAAATATAAAATAAAGATGGTCGTTTTCTCTGATAACTTCTTTCAGTTTAATCACATTGGCATGATTAAGTTTCTTCAGAGACTGTAACACAGCAAAGGCGTGTCAGGACGCTGGGCAGCGCCGCCTCTCCCGGGTCTGCTGGCAGCTCACGGGTCCGAATCCGTGTTCCGGGAAGGCCCCTGACAGTAGGCGGCAGCCAGCACGGGCGCGAGGGCACCCGCACCCGCACTCCACCCTGCCCTGCCCGCCCCGTCCAGGTCCCTGTCACACAGTGTGAAGAGAAGGAAGACAAGCCATGGTCACACGGGCCACGGTCACAGGGGCCGCGGTCACACTGGCCACCCTCACACGAGCCTTATCACAAAGGCTGCAATCACACGGGCCTCGGTCACACGGGCCGTGATCACATGGGCCGCGGCCACACGGGCGATCACACGGCGGCACCTCTTCGGGGGAGCCTCGGGCCGTGTCTCCCGCAAACAGGACAGGCCCTGCCCTCGGCCGTACCTTCACTTCTCTCAGATTCATACACTCATCCCAGGAGTAGAACTTTCTCTTCATCCTGCAGCGGGAAGGCAGGAGTCAGCGCTGGGGCCAGGGTCCGAGGGCCGTCAGCTGCCCCCTGCCTCCCATGCCCGGCCCTTCCCGTGGGTGGGGCCGTTTCTGAGCCCGGCCCCTCCAGCGTTCTCACATTCTGAACCAGAGAACGTGCCAGCCTGGCGCTTACCTGGTGGGAAAAGAAATCTCGCCCATCTAGTGAAGACCTCATGGCCGTTCTGGGTCACGACCCCCGCTTCGACCAGAGACCCTTTGTGTGCGTGTGTGTGTGTGTGTGCGCGCGTGTATGAGTTGTGTAAGTGTGAGTTTGTATGAGAGCGTGTGTATTCATGTAAGTTTGTGAGAGTATGTGTGTGGGTGTGTGTGTGAATGTAACGGTGTGTTTGTGTGGGTACGTGTGAGTGTGTGTGAGAGTGAATGAGTTTCAGTGTGTGTATGTGCTTGAGTGTGAGAGTGTGAGTGTATGAGTGTGGATTTTTGTATATAGTGGGTATGAAAGTATACATGTGAGTGTATATGTGACTGTGTATATTGTGTGAGTGTGAGTTTCAATGTATGCGTGTCTGTGAGAATGTGTATGTGGGTCTGCGTCTGTGGATGTGTGTGTGTAGTGAGTTTGTGTATGCGTGTATGAGAACGTGTGTGTGTGAATTTGAGTGTGTGTATGTGTGAGTGTTTGAGCATATGTGTGAATGCGTGAATGTATATGTGAGTGAGGGTGGGTCTGGGTGTGTGTGAATGGACGCATGTCAGTGTGTCTGTGTGAGAGTGGGTATGTGTGTGTATGAGTGTATCTGTGTATCTATGTGTGTGAATGTGTATGTGTGTGAGTTTGGGCGTGGGTGGGTGCATGTCAGTGTGTGAATGTGAGAGTGTGTGTGTGTGTGTGTGTGTGCCTGGGCCTCACACACTGGAGAGACAGTCCTTCCCTCTACCACTGAGCCCCCCACCACTGTGAGAAGCCCACTGGGGACTCTGTCAGCAAAGAGCAACCCCGTCATCTGAGCATCTCTCGGGGCTGGAGAGATAGCACAGCGGGTAGGGCGTCTGCCTTGCACACGGCCGACCTGGGTTTGATTCCCAGCGTCCCATCTATATGGTCCCCTAAGCACCACCAGGAGTAACTCCTGAGTGCAGAGCCAGGAGTAACCCCTGTGTGTCCCAAAAGAAAAAAAAAAATCCAAGCATCTGTCCTGACCATCTCATCTGTCCCACCCACTGGTGGGGGTGCGGTGGGGGCGTCATTGCTGCGGGCGGCACAGGGGGCCACGGGGCCTGGGGAGTGTGCTGCGGGGATGGACTCAAGGGTCCCACACACGGGGCCTCTGCTCGGGCCAGCCGAGGTGGCGTCTGTATAGAACCGATTCAGCCCCCGGGCGGGAGGAGTTTTAGAGAACGGGCTTTCTGCTCCGAGCAGCTGTGTCTCCAGGGTAGAAGGGGCCGGGCTGGACAGGGGGCCGCTGAGCCCTGACAGTCTCGCCCGTGTCGGGCTGTGAGGCAGGGAACACACAGAACTCGGCCCCGCCCGCCCCACAAACCCCAGGGCCTTGACAAGTGACCCACAGCATCTGGGCCTCAGGGTCTGAGAGGCAGAAAGGCCGGAAGCTCCCGCCAGCCAGAAGCCTGACGCTGCCTGAGAGTCCTGCTGCCGGACACGGTCATCGTGCGTGGGCCCGGTCCGGTCTGACCCCTTTGGCCTGGGCTCCTCCCCGCTTTGAATCTTGGTTTGTCCGCGTGGGTGGGGTTTGGGCCAACCCAGTGGGCTCGGGGCTTGCTCCTGCCTCAGGCTCAGGGACACTCCTGGAGGGCTGCGGGGGGGGGGGGGGAATCGAACCCAGTTTGGCCTCCCGCAAGGCAAGCGGGCCGCCTGCTGGACTCTGCTCCGGCCCCTCCAACTGCCGCTGACCTCGGGGGCACAGAGGGAACCCGGCCCCTCTTCGGGAGTCAGATTCCGACAGGGATCGGGGACGGGGACGGGGACGGGTGGGCGCCTGCCCTCGCACCTCTTGATGGCCACCAGCTCCCCCGACTCGTTGCTCTTGCCCATCAGCACGCTCCCGTACGTGCCGTCCCCCAGCTGCCGCATGGTGGTGTAGCGGTTCATCCCGCGCCCGCGGTGGCCGCGCTGCTGGTGCCCCGGCTCTCGGCTCTCGGCTCTCGGCTCCTCGCTGCTCCCGGTGCGGCTACACAGGCGGCAGGCGTGACGGCATCCAGCGCCCTCCCGGGCTCGTCGCGGGCAGGTCACAGGCCGGAGGGAGGAGTCGGGCGAGCTTCCATCCTCGGCTTCCTGGGGCCCGGCAGGGCGGTCAGCCCGGTCAGCCCGGTCAGCAGGATCAGGGTTTCAAACGTCCTGACCGCCCTCCCCCCACCCCGCTCCCCCGCCAGCTCTCAGGGCTACTCCTGGCTCTCGGCTTGGGGTCACTCCTGCCAGGGTTCGGGGGACCCCATGCTGCTGCCGGGGACGGAACCAGGGTCGGCCGCAGGGAAGGCAAGCTCCTTAACCCCTGTGCTAGGCCTCCATCCCTAAAGCCGATTGTTCTGGAAGAACCTCTCCCAGAAGTTAACCTGCAGGGAAGTGGTCGGTCTCACCAGCACCGCGTGCTGCTGGCGGCCCACAGAAACCGCCGTTCATGCGTGCCGCTAGAAGGACAGTCACGTCTGCACAGGGTTATCACTTCAGAGCTTTGTGGATTTGGAAGGGGTCATGGGGGGTGGGGGGGGTTGGTAGCCGCTGACCTTGTTGAACTGAGGTTCAGCATATACACAAAAACGCTCTATCTCTCTCACACACACTCTCTCAGACACACACTCACACATATACATACTCACACACACTCAGACACACCCTCTCACACTCGCACACACACTCGCACACACGCTCACTCTCTCACACACAACACACTCTCACACACTCACACACACTCTCACACACACACTCGCACAGTCAAGAGTTGCTGGGGGCAGGGGGGTGGTAGGCGGGGCAGGTGGTGCCTCGCATGCGGCTGACCCTGGTTCCAGCCCCAGCGCTGCACAGTCCCCTGAGCGCCTCCGTGAGCACCGTGGGCTCTGGCCGCCCCCAACCCAAATGGACCAACGGGTCGGCGAAAGTCAGGCTGGCGCCGGAGGCGGGAGTCAGCCCCGCTGAAGCCTGAGCTAAGCACCAGGACAGGACTTCAAACGCAGCCTCCGGGAAGGCCTCTTACCAGTCACATTCGCTATGCATGAACAGCTCTCGGCGGGACGGGGCGGCTGGCAGCACCCACGGGCCCTCTGTGCCCTGCAAAGTAAGGAGATGGCGTGGCAAGGGGGCACAGAGGCAGGGGCTGGGTGCAAGCCGGGGCTCTTGGTCTGTGGGAAGCCGATTCGGCCACCGGTGGGGGTCAGAGCCCCCCGGTGTCCAGACACGCTTCTCCCCACATGCAGTTCCAGCCCAGACGAAACACATTTGCCAACGCACGGCACGTCAGCGGGATCCAACTCCGACCCTCCACACAGCTGCCAGGAACCGGGCACCCTGTCCCAGGAAGTGACCGCATGTACTGACCACGAGGCGAAAGGAAGCCTCTATCCTGACGCCGCCAAGGGAGGGGCAAGGTGCTGAATGTCCAGGGCTGGCTGCAGAGAGGCACCGAACAACACCTGCCTCCTTTCTCTCCCACCAGTTTCCTTATTTCGATCTAAGTGAGCAACTGCTGGAAAGGAGCTTTGTTTTCGCGGGTCTGTGGGGCCAGCCAAGGGGTTTAGGGAGGATTAAGATGATGAATGCAGAGGACACGCGCAAGGGCACCACCGGGGACCGGCCCGAGCCCTGACCAGGCCTGCGGACAGGCGGGCGCTGACCTTGGCGGGCAGAGGACAGTCTTTCTAAACACCAGGTCGCGAAGGAACCGAAGTGCTCGTCGTGCACGGCGCCAGGAGGGAGCCTGAGCACCGAGCTGCGGCCCCAGCGCCCAGGCAAAGCCAAAGAAAGCCCTCGAGGGCGAGAAGCCCACCAAGCCCGGACTCTGCAGGAGCCCCAGGCGGCGCTTAGGGAATCGAACCGCCCGGCAGGTCCAGCGGGAGGGAGGCCGGGCCGGCCCGAGGTTCCGTTACGGCCGGACCCGCGTGGGCGCCGCAGGACCCGCCGCCGCCGCGCTCCCCGGCCGGACCCTCGCGGGCCCCCAGGCCGGGGGTCCCCAGGGCCGCCCGCGCTCCGCCTCGCCGGCGCCGGGCCCGCCGGTTCTCCGGCTGGACTCCGGGCCGGTTCCGAGCTCGGTGCCCCGCGCCCCCGCCTGCCCCCGGAGCACGGCAGCTTCCCCGCAGCCCCGGCGCGGCCGTCCAGGGGCGCGGCCGCGGCCGCTCGGGTCACCTGCCCGCGCCGCTTACCTGGCTGGCCGGGGCGAAGCTCCGCGGCGTCTTGTGTGTTCCGTCTCCCTGGCAACGGGGGCGTGGCCGTGCGGCCGGGGCGTGGTCTCAGCACCGTGCTGCCCCGCCCATCGGGGGGCGTGGTCTCGGTGAGCGTCGCCCCACCTGCCAGGGGCGTGGTCTCGGTGGGCGTCGCCCCGCCTCCCGGGGCGTGGCCCCGTCCGGTACCGCCCCGCCCCCTTGTGGGCGTGGCCTCGATGCGCGCCACCCAGCCCCGCCCCTGCGCCCAGACGCCTGCAGCGTCCAGCTCGGGTTCACTGCACAGACCTGACAGCGGTCCTGGCACCCCAGGCTCGGCCTCGGCCGGGCCCCTGCAGGGACTGGCCTGGACACGGGGCCGGTGGGCCGCTGGCCTGCCCGGGCCTGGCCCCTGAGCCGGTGCTCGAGGAGCCGTGAGCGAGCGCGGGCAGGACGGTCAGGCTAGCAGGCAGGTGCGAGCGCCAGAGGCCAGCACCCACTGCCGTCCTCTCCTGGGCTCGGGCCCTCCACTGCAGACCTGGGACAAGCCCACGGAGCAGCGAAGGGCAGGCGAGAGGCCAGGGGAGAGGTCACCCTGGGCAGGCAGCTGCAGAGCCACTGAGGGCAGTGGGCGCCCAGCGGGCAGGGGGAAGAGGGCCCGGAGCACAGAGAGGGCCGGAGGATCTGGCCTCGGAGGGACAGTCAGGCGTCGGGGTAGCCTGTGCACAGCCGTGCTGTCCAGCACTGGCCGGCCTGGGTTCCAGCTGTGGACAGACGACACCGGCTCTGAGAACGTGGAGTCTGGGAAGGGCCTCACGGAAACACAGACCCGGGACTCTGAGTTGGAAACCAGATGTGGAGCTGCGGGTGAGGGCGGGTGAGGACTGGGAGCCAGGTGGGGGCTGCGGTCCTGGTCCTGGTCCTGGAGTACCCGGAGCCAGAAGAGGGGAATGAAGGGGGCGGCAGGGGGTCTGCTAAGGAAATGCAAACACGCAGCAGGAGGCCCCCAGGAGAAAACAAGAGTTCAGAGTGAGAAAAGGAAGGTTGAAAAAAGAATGACAGGCGGGACCCCAGGGATAGTGCCGGTTGGGGCGCTTGCCCTGCATGAGGTCAGCACCGCGTACGCCTCCAGGAACACCGACGGAGCCCAGAGTGAGCCCCAGTGCTGTCAGGGGTGGCCCCCAAAATACAAGCAAACGGGCAGGAGAGAAGGGAAGAAAAACAGGAAGCAAGGAAGGAAGGAAGGAAGGGAGGGAGGGAGGGAGGGAGGGAGGGAGGGAGGGAGGGAAGGGAGGGAGGGAGGGAAGGAGGGAGGGAGGGAGGGAGGGAGGGAAGGAAGGAAGGAAGGAAGGAAGGAAGGAAGGAGAAAGAGGAGAGGGAGGGGAGGAGAGGAGGGAAAGAAAGGAAGGAAGGAAGGAAGGAAGGAAGGAAGAGAGGAAGGAAGGAGGGAGGGAGGGAAGGAAGGAAGGAAGGAAGGAAGGAAGGAAGGAGAAAGAGGAGAGGGAGGGGAGGAGAGGAGGGAAAGAAAGGAAGGAAGGAAGGAAGGAAGGAAGGAAGGAAGGAAGGAGGGAGGGAAGAAAGGAGGGAGGGAGGGAGGGAAGGAAGGAGGGAGGGAGGGAGAGAAGGAAGGAAGGAAGGAAGGAAGGAAGGAAGGAAGGAAGGAAGGAAGGAGAAATCTGTCCGCTCAGCCAGAGTTCACCTGCTCCAAACCGGCTCAGACCCACTGGTCCCCGACCCCTTCTGCGGGGCAGGTATGTCGGGGGCGTCCGTCCCACCGCCTCTGCGGTCTGCGCAGTCAGCGTCAGAGGGGCCGTGGGAACATCTTGATCAGTGGATGCATTTGCCGTCGCAAGTTTGTTTACGTTTCGCCCACTGACTTGGGACGTTTCCCGTTACGTGATCCCTCCAAGGCCGCTCCGAGGGCATTTTGCAGGAGGGGCCTGGCTGTGGCTGATGCCGGGGGTGGGGGGTGTTGGAGTGTGGGAATGGCGTGCGTGCTGTGTCCCCAGGGCTCACGGGGGTGCTGTGAGGCTGCCCTGTCGGGAGGGGAGTGTTAAGGGTGGGCGGCGGCTGCCCCTTCCCGGGAAACTGCACAGGACTGTGAGCGGCTGCTCCTCTGTCCCCTGCCGACCCAAGTGTCCTTCCCTGGCTGGCTTCCTGCCCCGGGCTTCTCCAAGCAGTGAAGTGCCAAGGATGGGCGGAGCGAGAATGTGGGGACCAGGTCAGGCTCACAATGGATGCCTTTGGCCCCTTCTATGGACCCACCGTGAGATGCAATGACAGAGGGTTCGTGGCTGGGCTCAGTCGGACAGTGTCCCAACACCGTCCCGTCGATGGCTTTTATTATTTTTCGGTTTGGGAAGGGCCACACTTGGCAGTGCTCAGGGCTTGCTCCTGGCTCTGTGCTCAGGGGTTACTCCTGGTGGTGCGTGCGCTCCTGCACACGCTATGTCCGTCTCCATGGAGCTTGGGGGTCGGAGCTTGGGGGTCGGGCACCACCCCCCATGCAAGCAACCCCCACGCGGTCTGTCCTTCCCGGCCTTCCTCCCCGCTCCCAGCTCCTCAGGTCAGACAAGCCCCAGGCCCTGGGTTGTGGAGGGACTCAGCCTGCACGGGGGGCAGAGGGAGGCTGTGACCTGCGGCCGCGTGGCTGCGGGCTGTAGGACAGGCCCCTGGACACGTGGGTCAGCGGGGTGGATGACAGTTCGGGCGCTCCGGGGAGCCCTGTGAGCAGAAGCGCTGAGGGCTGGCTCCTGGTGACCTCTGTGCCTGGCTCTGGATCTCACTGATCTAGACTCAGGGACGAGGAAAACATTTGCTCCCCTCACCGCTAAAGTTATTTCTCCTCAAAGTTCAGCAGTTTTATGGAAAAGGAAAATATTAGTCTTGGTTTAGTGGTTCCTTTTGGCCCACTATGGACAAAAATGAGACTAACCGACACCACCTCAGCGGGCAGGAGTCGGCGGGGAAGCGGCACTGGGGGGAGGGGAGGTCCTGCCGGTTCAGCTGATGTGCAAACCGCAGAGCACCCATCAGCACAGGACGCGGCTGAGTGCAGGCTGCTCCCGGCCCAGTGCTCCCTCCCCTCTCCCATGCCCGAGTCCTCTCCCGCCCTGCTCGTCCCCTCTGCCTTAGGGAGTCTCCGATCACTTTCTCTCTGTCTCACCTCCGTCATGTGTGCAGTTCCCTGGGCGGCCCCTGCAGCCTCCCCTGCCCCCTGCACCCTTGGGTAGGACTCGACAAGGGGCGGCTGGAAGCAGTGCCCTGGGCCGTGGGCGCTGGGTCCGATGGTACACCACACCGTCCAGGGAAGTGCAGGCTTGACCCTAGCCTCGGGAAGCAGCCGGCTCTGGGCTTCCTGTGCAGTGCTCACAAGGTCCGGCCCACCCCCCCCCCCGCCCTCCCGGCCCACCAGGTGGGCAGGCCCACGCCAGGTTGTGAGGACATGGCGCTGCTCAGGCCTGGCCCAGCCCGGAAGTGCCCCTGGCCTGTCAGGCTGCCCCGGGCATGCTCCGGAGACCCCGCAGTGCCAAGCAGAGGGGGCTGCAGGACCCCAGGACTACCCCCCCACAATAGTCACAGTGCAATTTCCAGCACGCAGTGTTCCGGCCACTAGCTGCCCCCATTCCCCAGGTCCCCGCCTCCTGCTGCTGCCGAGGGCACACCGTTTGCTTTGGCTGTACCCTGGCTGGCGGCTGTTCTCTCTGGCAGTACCCTGGGCGGCGACAGGGTTAAGCTCTGTGGTCCACACACTTGCCCACACCTCACCTGTACCCCACCCGCGTGGCAAGGCTGAGCACGGCGGCCGCAGTGAGTGGAGGTGGCACCGACATCCTTCCGGAGAGGGAACTGGAGTGTGGGTCCTCCCACGCGCTCTCTGGCTTGGCGGAGAAGCCCCCACGGTTTCCGCCGGGGCTGAGCCAGGATCGTCCCCCCGCAGTGGCGGGGGCTCCTTTCTCCAACACAGGCTGTTCTGGTCTGGGCCATCCGTCCTCACCTGGGGGCACATCTCAGGGCTGCCCGGGGCCCGGTCCCTGCTAGCAGCGACGAGGAGCACTTTCTTGTGTGTCTGTGGACCATCCAGCCATCTGCTTCAGGGAAGCGTCTCTTCATTTCTTCCCCCCATCTTTGGAGAGGTTTTTGGGTTTTTCTTTTTCCTATTTTTGGTATAAAAAACTCAACACGAGCCACTTGTGTTCCTCTGAGACATCTTTATTACATTTATTAACCATCGACCAGTGAAGAGTAGCAAAGTAGCAGTCAAGCTATCTTTGAATCGAGCATTTTATTCTAATTTAAAAACTTAATCGGGGCAAATTATTTTAGCACAATAATAATCCATTAACTATGCGTCGTCACTGCTAGGCTGTCTCTGCTACGAACACACCCATCGGTGTCACTGGTAAAGGTCCTGGGGCAGCTGATACCCAAATTCCCTTAAAGTTTCCACGTGGAGGGCCGGCGGGAGAGCAGAGGGTGAAGCAGCTCCCTTGCGTGTGGCCCTCCTGGCTCGGTGCCCGAGCCACGCACAGCCCCAGGAACCACCGAGCGTCACTGGAGCAGAGTCAGGTTTAGACGCTGAACACTGGGTGTGGGCCCGCTGTCCCACCCACACTCACCCCCAAGAAGCTCACATTTGTGTTTTTTTGTTTTTTGTTTTTTTTGCTTCTTGGGTCACACCCGGCGAAGGGGTTCCTCCTGGCTTTGGACTCAGGAATTACCCCTGGCGGTGCCCGGGGGACCAAATGGGATGCTGGGAATCGAACCCGGGTCAGCTGCGTGCAAGGCAAATGCCCTACCCGCTGTGCTATCACTCCAGCCCCAAAGTGCACACTCGGGCCAGGAGCTGGCCAGCAGTCAGGGGCCCCCTGGCTGGCCCCGGGAGACTGTCCAGTTAGCGGACACTCGGGCGGGGAGGGTCAGCAGTGAGGCCAATCCTGGTCTGCCCTGCCCCACCGAGTCCCCTGTGGCCCCAGCCTGAACTGCCCGCTGGGGTGGCTGAGAGTGGCCGGGGGCGCCCGCGGGCCCTCTGAACTCACTTGGGAATCCATCTCCCGCCCCCCAAGAAAAGAAACATCACACTTTACTATTGCGACGTCATGGGTTTAAAAAGGAAACGGGCTGGAGCGAGAGCACAGCGGGGAGGGCGTTTGCCTTGCATGTGTCCGACCCGGGTTCGATCCCCGGCATCCCATATGGTTCCCCAAGCACTGCCAGGGGTAGTTCCTGCGTGCAGAGCCAGGAGGAACCCCTGTGCATCGCCGGGTGTGACCCCCCCCAAAAAAAAACAAAGGAAACTGCCTGCCTCAGAGATTACCCCCAAGTCCCTCCCGGATGCACACGTGACACCTGTGAGGCCAGAGCCTCTGTGGCAGCGGCCGGGAGGGCAGTGCGGTGATGCTGCCGGCTGCCTCAGCCTGTGCTCCTCGGGGGGAGGGGGCAGCAGGGACCCCTCATGCCACAGCCCCGCCTCGCACGCCCTGCTCTGACCCCCGTGTTCCCTTGGCTGCTCTGGGGGGAGAGCCCCACCCACGTGACTCCGCGTGCCCTGGGGGCCTCAGACACGGGGAGTTTCCTGGCAGGCCCAGTGTTCCCAGGGCAGCTCGAGGACGCTCAGGCACACCCGTCCACGTTTCTTCACCTTCTCCATCTTCCGGGCCACCAGGAGCCGGTGGCACATCTGGTGTCTCTGGAGGGTGCGGGCGGCCCTGGTGCTCAGGGCGGCCCTGATCACTTCAGAATTCCTCGCCAGTCCAGCTGAAGAACGGGCCGACTCCGTCGGAGGGGCCAGCCGCAGGCCCCAGGCCCCACATGCCGGCATCCCAGGCCCCCGGCCCGTCCTTCCTGGAGGGGGCCACCTCCTGGGGAGAGGTCAGCGTGGGCCAGAAGGCCTGGCGCTCTCCGGGCCCTTTCCCTGGCAGTGACCCCGCGGGACAGGCCACCCCGGGGAGGGGAGCTACAAGGTCCAGGGCTTCTGAAGAGAAGTTTCCGGAAGCCTCCCACGCCTGGTCACAGTGTGGCAGCGCAGGGGGCTGGTAGCACACTTTGGTGGTCGTGGTGATCACTGTGTGCAGGGCCGGAGCCCCGGCGGCCACGGGAGGCACGAGGTACCTGCAGGGAAGCTCTGGGGAACAGGGGGGCCCGGGGGCCCCTTCCAGGAGCTGTGCCGGGGGGTCCCGAACTGGCCGCGGGCCAGGCTGTCTCCTGCCGGTTCCCCAGTGCAGGCTGTGTTGGCGCACGGCCAGGGGCTCCCAGCTCGCGTCGCGGGGGGCCCGGCCGGCATCTCTGCAGAACGGGGGCTGTGGGCTGGGGTGCATGTGCCCAGCAGCTGCCAGGCCATAGCTGTGTGGCCCCGGGACCGAGGGTCTCTGCAGGGGCAGCCTCGGGCGTTCCCGCAGGGCCAGGCCGCAGGGAAGGCTGCAAGTATCCGTGTCCAGGAAGGGGCAGCTGGGCCCCGGGGGAACGTCAAAGGCTTCTGGAGCTGCCGGGGGCGGCATGTGGACCAGTCGGGCACCGCTGTCGTGATTCTCTCCTGCCTAAAGGAGGTCACGGACGCAAGGGTGGAGGTCACTGCCCGCCCCTGCCCCGTCCCAGCCGAACACAGTGTCGGGCTCTGCGCCTGGGGGAGGGTCCGTGTTGGGGGCAGGGCTGGCTCTGCAGGCTGTTTGTGGGGAGCCCAGCCCTCGGCAGCAGGAAGCCCCAGGGGCTCCTTAGCACCCGGCGGCACTAAGAATCCACCTGCTCTTTGCCAGAAACATCCAGGGCTCCCGAGGGGACACCAGGACGCTGCGGGGACCCACATTTCTGTCACCTTCGGGACTCCCCTGCGCAGCCCTCGCTCTGCTCTTTGGGCTCCCGGGTGGCGTGCAGGGCCGTGCCCTATTGGGGGTCAGGCCCGGGGGGTCCAGCCCTTTATGCATGCCCTGCCCCTGCCTCTTGTGAAGGAGAGGGCAGCTGGGATTGGGGGGTCTACACCCGGTAGAGCTCGAGGCTTCCGGTGCTCAGGGATCACGTGGGGCAGCTCGGAGACTCTGCTCAGTGCTGGGGCTCAAACCCGGGTCAGCCACATGCAAGGCAAGTGCCTTAACCCACGGGCTATCTCTCCAGCCCCACTTCGCGTTTTGTGTGTATTTAAAGAAGAGGTATTGGGGAACCATCTGGAACGTGGCTCCCGTGACGCTTGGGGGAGCTTCGAGTCTCACGCGGGCTCAGCTGTGGGCCGCCCTTACCTCCGGCTCCCGAAGTCTCCTTCTCTGGGGCTGCTGCAAAAGGGGCCCTTGTCTCCTGAGGGCACTTCTCCGCGCCTCCGTCTCTGACTTACTCTCTGGTCTCGGGTGATCGTGGACCCCCTTGGCCTGCAGGAAGGAGTGAGCTGATCACACTTCAGTTCCTCTGAAGGAGGCTGGCCAAGCTGAGGATGCCTTATGGATCCCAAGAACAAAGAAGCCTGGACTCAGACCCCTGCATGCCCGTGTTCAGTGCAGAGCTGTCCACAACACCAAGGCCTGCAAACGACCCAGACTTGCACCAGCAGATGCGCGGAGAAAGATGTGCTTTCTGGAGGGGGAGGTGTTGAGAGACAGCAGGGCGTTAAGGCCCCTGCCTTGCATTCAGTGGACCTGGGTTCGATCCCTGGCACCCCATGTGGGCCCCCAGCATTGCTAGGAGTGACTCCAAAGCCAGGAGTAAGCCCCGAGCACCACCAGGTGTTCCCCCCCTCCCCCCCAAATACAGGATCTGGTCGATATACACAGCGGGATGCTCAGCAGCTCTGAGAAAATGCATCCTTGCATTTGGGGGCACCTTGAGTGGAACTAGGTGTCAGTCAAAGAAAGAAAGTCAGAAGGGGAGAGGTGCCGTGCCCTGCTCCTGTGCGGCACAGAAAGAAACCGGGTCTTTCCTTTCGGAGCTGAGCTGACCCGGCGTCTGCCGAGGGGCTCGGCTTTTAAGTCTCCTAACCGTGCTGCCCAACCGTTTTCAGAAAGTTAAGAGGAACTGCGCAGTGCCTTTCCCCAGATTCCAGGCTGCTGTCTGGTGTTTGCAAAACGACGGGAAAGGGGCAAACCCTGACCTACAGGAGCATCGGCAACAGGGCCTGGCCAGGTCAGCGCCCGGACGCAGAGGTCGGACCCCCTCCGGGCGCCACATGCTCCCAGCCCCGCCAGGGGCCACCCTGTACCCCCGAGAGCACCGTCCAAGCTCTGTCTGTCGTCGTTGCTGTTCCCGGGGCTCCCGTGCGGGCTGGCTGAGCGGCCGGGGTCGCCGGGCCTGCCGGAGGGAAGGTCCCGCACGGACTCGGGGGTCCCCCTCTCCGTACCTGAAAGAATATCGCGTTGCCTTCCAGCCTCCAGAAGTTGGTGACAGGGTAGCCGCTGTGCCCTCGGCAGGGGACCAGCTCCAGGGCCGAGTGGCAGTTGGGGCAGGTTTTCCCTGCAAAGCCAGAGCCCTGGGGGATCAGCGGGCGCACCTGGACCCACGCCTCACCCCTCCGCCGTGCCCCTCCTCTTGCCACGCCCCTCCGCTGCTCGTCCGCCAATCCGATCCTCCCTCCTCTGCTATCCCCGCCCCTTTGCCGCTAGCCCCTCCCTATCCGACCTACCTCTCTGCCGCTAGCCACGCCCCCTCCGCTAGCCACCCTATCCAATTCGCCCGTCCGACGTTAGCCCCGCCCCCGGTGCGCCTTGCCCCGCCCCTGCGTCTAGCCCCTCCCTATCTGACTTCCCCCTCCGCTGCTAAACCCGCCCCTAGCCACGCCCCTGCCCTATTAGCCGCCCTATCCTATGCGTCTTTTTCTCCCCCCTCTAACTCTAACCCCGCCCTAGCCGATGCTTTGTCCCGCCCCAGCCTATGAGACTGGCCCCGCCCTTTACGGTGCGCCCCGCCTCGCCGCTAGCCCCACCCCTGCCGTTGGCCTCACCCTATCCGACGCGCCCCACCCCGCCTCTGGCCCCGCCCCACTTCTGGCCCCGCCCTATCCGAGGCACCCTACCCCGCCTCTGGCCCCGCCCCTGCCATTGGCCTCGCCCTATCCGACGCGCTCCTCCCCGTCGCTGGCCCCGCCCCGCAGCTGGCCCCGCCCCTCTGGTCCCGCCCCCGCTGGCCCCGTCCTATCCGAGGCGCCCTACTCCGCCTCTGGCCCCGCCCCTGCCGTTGGCCTCGCCCTATCCGACGCGCTCCTCCCCGCCGCTGGCCCCGCCCCGCCCCGATGGCCCCGCCCCCGCCGCCCCCGTCCTATCCGAGGCTCCCTACCCGCCGCTGGCCCCGCCCCTCTGGTCCCGCCCCCGCTGGCCCCGTCCTATCCGAGGCTCCCTACCCGCCGCTGGCCCCGCCCCGCCCCGCCGCTGTTCCCGCGCTCACGCTGCTGCTTGCGCCGCGCCTTGTCGCAGATGGCCGGGCGCAGGCGGAGGGGCCCCGAGGGGCCGGCGCAGCCCCGCGCGCACAGCACCACGCCCAGGCACGACTTCTTGAGCACGCGGCCGTTGTGGTTGTTGGTGTTGCGCATGGCCCAGCCGCTCAGGTGGCGCTGCGCGCGCCGCTCGTCGCCCGGGTAGACCAGGCGCACGTGGCCGTCGGGCCACTCGCAGAAGCGGTCGAAGGGCAGCGGCCCCTGCGGGGAGAGCGGCGGGTGGGCGTCTGGACCTGACCGAGCTCAGCTTCCGCGTGCGGGTAGAGCATGGGCTGGGGGCTCGCTGGCCCTGGCCACAGGGGCGTCCCTCCCGACAGGGCCACCAGCTGGGAATGCCTGTGACCAGCTCGGCTGTCCCGCGCCAGGGGGCCACAGCTCAGCGCCCACCGGTCTTTCCATTATGAATTTCATAGAAATTTCTTGCTGCCTGCGCATTCCCTGTGCCCCTCCTGCAGACCCCGTGGTCAGGTCCCTCTGGCTTCCTGGAGGAGGCGCCCACGCAGGGGCCGGCTGAGTGGTGGATCTCATGGGGGATGGGGGATCAACCTATGACCGGTGAAGGTGGCACGGGTTTCAAACTTCAGGGTCTGAAAGTGAGCTCGTGGCCCATCTGTCTGTCCACATGCTCCAACGCAGTGTCTGGGGGCAGAGAGGCCGGCACTGCCCAGATGAGGAGGAGGAGGAGCAGTCCTAGAGCAGGGCAGCTGGGCAGGCGAGAGACCCAGGCGAGAGACCCCCATCGCCAGCATCCGACCTGACAGCCCGCCAGGCCGTTTGTTTCTGAGACCACACAGAGGCTGAAATCATCCCTGTTGATGCGTGTCCTTTTTCCTGAGCTAGTGTCACTGACATAAAACAGTTGTGCTGAAATGGGTTAGGGTCATGCCAACAGCTGCTTATAAGGCAACATCGCAACTTAAGGGGCTGACAGGGGCCCGAGGCGTTCATCACTGTCACTGTCACTGGCCCTCAGGTCCCACACCAGCTACCAGGGGTTCCACAGCAAAGGAGCCCCAGGGAGAATCAGCTTGCTTGGTGGGGCCGCCTCTGTGGTCAGGGGTCACTCCCTGCGGCCTTTGGGAACCACGTGCGGTGCCAGGATTCAAACCCAGGTTGCAGAGGCACAGCCACATGCTGGGGGAGCGCCCTGGCCCTGCGCGGCCTCTCCAGCCCCCAGAGAGCATTGCTGACATTAGGACGATCCTTATCCAGCTGCTGACAGATGGGCCGACAGCGGAGCCAAGCACCTGCAGAAACTGTCTCAAGGTCAGGCCGGGCCTGCCTCAAGGTCTTGGGCTCTCTCCATCCTCCGAGCAGCCCAACTGGGGTCCCCGTGCCCCCAGCCCTCTCCGTGGGTCCCCTTCACTGCACCCCAGGGCCCAAACTCCCTGTAATGCGCCCCAAAGGAAGCGTGTGCCCCCCCCCCCCCCAGGTGCTGGGGCAGGAGCCGCGTCTGCCCGGCTCCAAGTGTCCCGCGTGGCAGTGGGTTTGAGGGTGGGCTTGGTTGCTGTGGCCAGTCGGCAGAAATGGCCTCTCAGAACTGTGACCCTTCCCAGAACTAGGGCAGCCGGGGGGGGGGGGGGGGGCACAGGCAGCCTCAGAGGGAGGGAGGCAGACTACCATGGACCCTGCAAAGCACCTTCTCTGGCTAGTGTCTGGTGCAGAGTGGATGCGGGGTGGGGGGGTCTCTCTCTGTGCCACCCCCTTTGCAGCTGCTGCAGCCACACCTGCTGCCCTCCACCTCCCAAGTGGCACCTCCAGCTCATGCCCAGATGCCCCATAACTGCTGGGCTTGTTCACTGTGCGTGGCCCTAAGCCTTGTGGCCCCAAGCCTCATGTGTGTATGTAATAAGTGAGTGCGTGTGTATGTGTGGGTGTGTGTGAGTTATAAGTGTGTGTGTGTTTATGAGTATGTGTGTGAGTGTGGGTTGTGTGTGTGTATGTGTTTCCATCAAAACCAGGGTCAGGGCTTGAAACAGCGCACAGGCCTGATGCAGCCGCACCTCAGGGTCCCAGAGCAGGCAGGAGTGACCCTGAGCACAGAGTCAGGAGTCCTGAGCGCCAACGGTGAGACCCAAACCTACCCACAGTGGGGAGCTCAGATGTGACTGGCAAGCCGGGGGTTGGGGGGCTCTGAGGGCCTTTCCCGGTGCGCAGGGCAGGCAGGGGTCCTGGCCCTGCCGGCAGGAGGAGGCTCTGGGCCCGACCTGGCCTGGCCCGTCTGGGATAGGGGCAGCGCGCGGCGCCCCGGGCTCTCCGCCTTTGGCTCACCTGCGGCATCTGGGGGTCGTTGATGTCCCAGCGGAGCGCGGGCCCCGCGTCCAGCGGCATGGGCCCCGGCGGGCGGGTCGGGGAGGAAGGGGCCGAGGCGGGCGGGCGCCCCTTATAGCACCGCTCCCGAGAGGCGGATCCCCCCGGTGTGGGGAGGGGCGGGCCCGGTGGAGCGGAGGGTGGGACGAAGCGGGGCTTCCCGGGGGCTCGCGGGGGCCTCTGCCCTGCGGGGGCGGGAGGAGAGATGCGCAGGGCCGGGGGGCCGCGGGTGTCAGGGGGCCTTGGGCCGCGGGCGCCCAGCTCCCTCCCGGGGGCTTCTGGAGCCGAGCGAGACGCCCAGGTGCGGCGGGACCTGCGGACCGGGCAGGGCGGGGCGGGTTGGCCCAGGTCGCTGTCTGGCTGTCCCCTGCGCCTCGGGGTCCCGGGCGGCCCCTGTGGGCGGAGAGGGCGGGGGTGCAGGCGCGGCCCGGGTCCCGCTCGCTGGGGCAGGGGCTGCGGGATTGACCGGAGGGTCCCCGCCCTGCGCCCGCCTGCTCCTCCCGGGGCGCGCGGGGGTCCCGGCTGGGAACGCAGAGACTCCTTGTCTGGGTTTATTCTAAACGGGGCTGGACGCTTCCAGGTCTCTGATTCCTCGCGGCGCTCAGCCAGCCCCAGAATTTAGGACTGAAGGGGCTGGAGCGGGGGAGCACAGCGGGGAGCGCGTTTGCCCGGACGCGCCTGTTCCGGGTTCCATCCCAGATCCCTTAGGGTCCCCGGAGCACCGCCGGGAGTGATTCCTGAGCATCGTGGGGTGTGGCCCCCAAAAGTGAAAAAGTAATAATAAGGGCTGTAGAGAGCCAGGGTTAACCCTGAGCATCGGTGGGTGTCACCCAAAAAGAGAAAAAATGATGGTAATAAGGGCTGAATAATAGTAATAAGGGCTGTAGATAGAGGGGAGGAATGATAACAGAGGGCCGGGTGCTTGCGTTGCATGCAGCGGACCCTGGTTCTATCCCCACGCCCTCTAGGGACCCTCAAGCACAGAGCCAGGGATAATTCCTGAGCACTGTGGGGGGAGCCCCCAAACAAACAAAAGAAGTAATGGCAGGTCCCCAGAGATGGTTGCAAGGGGCTGTGCCCTCACTTTGCATGCAGGAGGCCAGGCTGATCTCTGGTTCCTGCAGAGACCCTCGGCACAGAGCTTGATGGCCACATAGCTGGAAACAGTGCCCCCCCTAGGACCCCCGTTCCTAGGATCCTAGGATCACACCCGGCGTGTCTACCCTGCTTTACTGCCACTAAGGCCGATTTCCAGAACAGAAGTCAAGCTTAAAAATCAAATATGTTTTTTTCTAAATAAATTTCAGTGTCCAGAGAAGTATCATAGAAACACAGAAACCAATTTGAGATGAATTAGAGGATATATTCTACAACTGGAATATATACCCGAGTCGTTTCCCTCCTCAAAATATGTCTGGTTAAAATACGTTAGGCAACGAAGAAAATCCAAGAAAAAAAATACAACCAAACAGAAATAAGCAAAGGGTGACGTGTTTTTGTTTGTTTTTCCTGGAAGTTTGAAACCATCACAGCCGCCACAGCCATGCAGTCTGGGTTTTTCCTCCAAAATGCTCGAAAAATTTTGTTACGAAGTCGTTACTATAAATTTGTTATAAATTTATCATAAAGCTGAATATTTTAAATAGTGCCGTTACTGTGTAATATATTCTCTCAACGTTCTATCAAACGCCGCGTTTGACACAGTCCAACTCACAAGTGAACAGAATCGCGTTTAATCGCAGTTCACGGGCGGCTCACAGCTGTGGTCTAATGAACCCAGACCGCAGGGTTTGTGGCTGCCATAGGCGGCTGTTGCCCCTCAGCTGTCCCGCTGAGTCCCAGCCCGGGCTCAGGCACGGTGCGGTGGCAGGGGACACGCTGGATGAGCTGCGGTGACAGGGCGTGTCCATTCAGGGCCAAGGACCAGGACTTGGGGCTGTGCCGGTTTCCATTCCGTGGGGTCTGGAGGTGCGTGGAAACTCGGGTTTGCCAGGAAACAGATCTCGGGGTCGGTTGGCTCTGACACTAACACACACGGTGGGCGTGGGCTGCAGGAGTGTTTTGCTTCTTTTTTAAGAAAATCATTTCTGCCCCCTGTGTTTGCCGGTGGAGGGGGGCTGGCTCTGACCTGGGGCCCTTGGGCAGAGCCGGTTGTGTGCAGGTGGCTTGGGGGGCGGGGGCTTTCGCTTTTGTTTTTGTTTTTGTCTTTGCGACGCCCCTTCCAGGTCCTCCACGTGAAAGTAGTCTCTCTCTCTCTCTCTCTCTCTGCATCCCAGCCAACCCTGAACTTTTACTTCAAATTAGTCCAGCAAGGTGTTTTTCCAAAAATAACGACTACTGTGTGAAATGGGAATTAGCTTCAGTTGGGAGTGGGCGCACAGCGTGGGCAGGCGTCTCCCCTCCTGCGGGATCCTGCACGGGCTGTTTACAGCCGGTGGGCGCCCGTGGGGGCGGGGCGCGACCTGGTGGCCTCGCTGGGTTCTCTTGCTGCAGGCACCTGTGCGCCCAGCACCAAGTGCGTCCCCCACCAATCAGAGAAGGAGCAGAGGGCAGTAGGGGGGGAGGGGGGCTCGCTGGGGGCGCACCAGGGCACGAGCTTCACGCACAGAAGTGGGCTGAGCTGCAGGGATGCAGGCGGTGAGTGCTGGGGAGACGGGACCCATCCCGCTGGGTCAAACCCTCCCCCCCTCCAGTGCCCCAATAGCCTTGGCGTTGGAGCGTTTCACTGGAGCGTTTCTGTGGGGTCTCTCCCTGGCTCGAGGGGGACCCCGGCTTGGCGGGCCAGGATCCCCCCTACCGCTGAGTGAGACCAGGGCCCGCGCAGCTCTTCCAGGCTGCGTGTTTGTCCTGAGAGTCAGTGCTGGGCCCTGGGCGGGGACATGAAGGGGGCGCAGAGCCGTAGTGCAGGGGTCCAGGTGCATTAGACACTCACCCCAGCACATGAGGGCGTAGCCCTGGGGGCCCCAGCACGCAGAGCCCCAGAGCGGACCCCCACGCCGGGAGGTCAAAAGCAAAACAGTCACAAACCTGGGTTGGAGAGGCGGGGGTCTTTGAATTCACCCCCTGGCCCTTAAAGGACAGTGGTGAGCCGTTGTTCGCGCTTACGGTTTCGGACCAGATCCAAAGTCGATGGGCAGAAGTGACCTCTTAGGGAGCCCCACCCCTGCCCCGCCCTGCGTGGGGTCCACTTGGCAGCCCCCTGGATTCAGGTGGATGGCCACCAGAGGGGGAGGGTGGAGTCCCGAGGGTCCAGCTGTTAGTCCTGGAAGAAAATGGGGACACGCAGAGGCTGGAGTGGGGGGGCTCTGCTGTGATGGACCGGGACTCTGAGGTCTCAGCCCAGCACCCGCAGGAGCCGGAAGCTGAAACTCGCAGGGCTTGGAACACTTCTAAAGCTTGTTCTCACAGCTGGGTGGCAGGCAGGCTGGGCACTTGCCCGGACCCTGGTCTGGGGTGAGTCCCGGCTCCCCTGGCTGTGGCCCCGAAGCAAAACCAAAATGGTTTTGCACAAGCCCTTTCCCTTCCGTGGAGGCAGGCGCTGTGTGCCATGCAGGCGGGTCTGTGCTCTTTGTCACGGGCACCTCTGTAGGGGCGCCTGGCTTCAGCCTGTCGCGTAGACCAGTGCTGGCACCAGGGCAGAAAGGCTGAGAGGGACAGTCGCGCCAATTCCAGCTGGTGACAGGAGCCGCCAAGCTTTCGCTCAGCTCAGCAACTTGACCTGGGCCAGAGGAACGCAGAGCCGTAGCTGAGACCCTGGTTCGAATCCCAGAACCGTATCTGGCCCCCAGAGCATGGCTGGGTGTGCGCGCCCCCACCCCGAGAAGCGTAGGGACCAGAAGGAGAGCACAGCGGGCAGGGCGCTGGCCCGGTCAGTTCCTGGCACCACACGGGCCCCCCGAGCCCTGCCAGGAGCATGAATGCAGCCAGATTATACCCCCCACCCCCAAACCCCAGCAGCAGCAGAAGGACCCAGATAGTGAGGTCTCAGTTTCCATTTTCATTCCCTTTGTTTGGGGGCCACACCCGATGGTGCTTAGGGTGAGCGCGGGGGACCCTATGGGATGCCAGGGACTGAACCCGGGTCGGCCGCTGGACGGCAGCTGGACTGTCCCGCAGTCCCCTGAGGGCTCACATTCTAAAGTAAAAGTGCCTTTGGAATGAAACCGCTTCTGTCCCCTTTTTGCCCCCGAAGGAGGGTCCTTGGTGGGCTCCCGGGGAGATGCTGGGGGCGGGCGGAGGCCAGGGCTGCTCGGGTAAGGCTGGGCTCTTCGCTCCGGGTCCCCCCTCAGCCACCCTCTTCCCTTGCCCCCCCACCCCGTGTGCCCGGAACAGGCGTGGCCCTGGCTGGAGCGGGGGAGCCACTGTGGGCACAGCCTGCCTGGCGGGCAGTGCCCTGTCCTGTTCCTCCCGCAGGGCACCAGGCTCTGAGAACCTTCTGGCTGCTCCCTGGGACCTTCGGGGGGGGGGGGGGTCTGCTGGACTTTGGAGACAGTGGGCATGTGGCTTTGGGGGAGGCTGGGGGCCCCTGCCAGGGAGCAGGAAGGGGTCCCCAAAAGCTCACCCACTCTTGTTTGGATTTGACCGCAGGGAGGTCCAGTGGGGCCGAGACCAGGGCGCACGCAGCAGGGAACTGGCCTGGCGAGGTTCCTGGACGTGCCCCCGGACGCTGCCCCACTCCCAGGCCTAGGGGCGGGGGTGCTTGCTTCGGCAGCTCCATCCCATGAGGCCAGGTGAGTAGTTCCCAGCGCCGTGAGGGGTCGCGAGCCGAGTAGGGCCCCCTGGACAAGGACTGTTGCCCCAAGGATTTTGCCGTGTTCCTGGGAATATTCGAGACTGGCTTCATTTCTTCTTCCTCTTACTCCTGCAGCAGGGAACACCAGCACAGGCGGCCAGGAGGGGACCTGCGTCTCCCACCGGCTGGCCGGCCTGTCTCCCACCCTTCACTTTGCTTTTTGGGTCACACCTGGTGGCAGTTGGGGGCGGTCCTGGGGTTGGCAGGGAACCCACCCTGGAGCCCGGTG